AAGTACATTTGATGAAATGGAATTGAAGCCAAAAGCCTTACATGAATATACCTACAATAGTTGCTGCTAATTGCGAAAGGCAAAAGGAATCTACACAAGTACAAACTTTTTTTTCTTTTTTTATACAAGTGATAGTCTGCTTTAGTCTAATCTAGACTATGGGGTGGGAGATTTGAACTCAGGTGTAGAGTGGGGATCACATCCGCTCTAGCCAACTTGACTAAGCTACACAAGTACAAACTTTAAGTACAATGTAATCAAGATCAGTTGTCTAAAACTTAAAAATACCTATAGGATAGCTTAAAACACTAAAAGAGTAAAGTCTGCGTTTTGAGTAGTCAAGAGTAATACTGTAATACAAAAAACACGCCAAAAGGATTGATACACGTATCAATCCTCTACAGTGTAGAACGTAAAAACAGAAAGCACACAAAGTATTTTACATGGTAAAACCCCACATTTGGGGAAAATCCACGAGACCTGATAGTCCAAGGCAAATCCACTATGGAACGATGATTACAATAAGTACTCACACACTTATCCTAGACACATTCTAGATAATGTTTGCCGATTTCTTCGTAACTCAACTTCTGTCATGGGATGATCTTTCGATACTTCTTATGTTGAACGCAATACTAGTCACGATTGCTTCAAGCTTGCCGAAGTTCTTCCAACTCTCCTTATGTTGAATTTGATACTGGTCATCATCGATTCAAGCTCACCAAAGAAAAACCACCACAACGGTCTTGGTGCCCTCAACCGAATGAGTCACTGAACATGCAAATGAATGCAATATGAATGATAAAAGAGTTTGATAAATCACCAAATAAACATGGAACACTTGATGATTTATCTCAAATAAAAATGCAGCTTTCTTAAACGTTTAAGCACACAAAATTATTGTTCAAAAGCTATTTAGATAAGAAAAACACCAAGCCCCTTATTTTATTTCACTTTTTCTTCTATAGGAAGAAAAGTCTACGTCCAAAACACAATCAATTTCATTGAAGGCTAGCCAAAGATATATTTCCTAGTCAAAACCAAATCACCAAATAGATATGAGCCAAAGCAATAAGGTTTTTGTCACAATTTTTCTCTTTAAAGACCATTGATATTATTGAAGCAATACAATTAATTTTTAATAGAGTATCTGATAGTTACTTGATTTGCAAGCACTCAAGACTTGACCCAAAAGAAGAGGCTTGATAGGGCGTGACGAAAAAAGAAAGCAAATTAATTTGAAAGAAACATGCTTAAATAAGATGCACTCATAAAGGGATTTTAATTGATTTCCTTTATAATTGATTTAAAAATCAATGAAACAAAATCATTTCAAACTTTAAAAAAGGGTTCCCAACATGAATGCATGAGAAATGACATGTCTTTCCCTTCAGATCAAAGGCTCATACGTGTTAAGTCACAATTTTGGAATTCGGAGATTTCTGAGCTGTTTCAATCCCATAGTTTCTAGAAACCAGAGACAGCAATTTTGCTTCAACCTTACAGCTAATTGACACTTCCAAACTAATATTAAGTTCTAGGAAATGCTAACACAATTTCATATTAACAAAACCCGATCAGAGCTATGGATTTGCAAAACATTTATATGGAGATTGTATACTATACTGTTAATCTAGATAAATTCAGCTCGAATCCAGCAGTTGCTCAATAATGAAGGCAACAAATTAATGCCAAGGGCTGGCTGGAGGGCAGTTTATCCCCTTTTTTATCTTCTTTTTATGTATCTTCAAATGCCAATGGAGTATAACTCAGTTGGTTGTGCTCCTCCACCCAGACAGCCAACGAATATTTATGTAAACCTTGTACTAAAAAGATAAAAAAGTGAAACAATTTAGAGAAGAAAAGAAAAACTGAAATTGGGTGCACCTCTCCCCGCCGCATCTCTCCTATTTCTTTTCTATTCATTTCAAAATGCTTACAGGAACAAGCTTTGACTTTCCAGATTTTTCTCGGTAACCAAACTTTAAACAAGCTTTAACATCCTGCAGTTCACAAAACTTTTCACTAAAAAGAGAAACAATGAAATGTTCATGGTCATAATCAAATGCCCAAGTGATTTCCTATTTGAATGAAACTTTATAAGGGCCGATCCTTGAATTATGATTTAAAAAATGAACATTGTAGAGTACGCCAACCGGGTGGAGTAAGCACACATAAATTAAATTGAGCTATTGAATTGGCACAAATTAAAGTTTAGGTACCAAATTACAGGAAGCGCTCCCTGTGCATGTTACCAAGTTAGACTGTTCGAACATGAGCACCAGCATGAACAAAGTGCCGCCTGTTCAGCAGAGCAACAGTTCAAATATATTGAGTAGAGACTCACTACTACCAGAAAGAACAGAACAAAAAAGAATTCAAGTACTTTGAATTAATTTTTTTTAAAAGTTTATTAACAAAATTACCTTCAGCAATATAATTTGTGAACATCCTCAGCCACAAGCCTCTTGGAATTCAACTTGTTCAATTAAAGACCAACCCTTTTTTGTTAATTTCCTAGCTGAAAATTTGTGCGATGATTATATGTTCTTGACGTTAACAGAGGGGTAGCATCCAGTGTGATTAGCAAAAGAGACATTTGATTAAGTACGGTACTCATCTTTTAACTTATGATCGAATACCCCCACTATTAGGTAATTGGATGATGACTTGACTTCAAGAGAAATTAACTTCTTGAGTTTGAAAATAAGGTACTAGTATAGTGATCCTGATGGAAACTTCATATGTCTTGATGCAGAACAAAGATCGGATAACATCCATCTGAATGCCATATTTTTCGGGTAATTGGACGAGTTGACTTCAAGTCAAAATGAACTCACTTGAAGTCAAGAACATGTTCTTGCAAGTAGATGCAAATTTCAAACCATCATTGTAACCCATCCCTATCTTGTTTGAAATTTAGTCATGTGCTCCTATTGCTCAATAATTTGAGTCCAATCTATAAATTATAACTCTCTCACATTTTCATTCCATGCATGCTAAGAGTGCAGAACAAATCAGAGTGTCTTATTATAAATTATAACTCTCTCAATTATGTTGACTTTCGTATAACAAGTTCAACGGTCCAATTCCCACTTCATTGGCAAACCTTACAGAGTTAAACAATCTGTCACTTTCTTATAATAATTTTAGTGGCGGTGCCTTGTCTTGGCTTGCTAAGCAAACCAAACTTACTGATCTATACCTTAGAAGCATCAATTTGATTGGTGACATCCCATCTTCTCTAAGAAACCTCACCCAACTCACTCGTCTTAATCTTCCCAAAAATCATTTAACTGGTCCAATCCCATCTTGGCTAGGTAACCTTACCAAGCTAGTTGACATATATCTTAGTCAAAATAAGTTGCATGGTTCATTTCCTGAGTCAATGTACAATGTCATGAATCTCCGAAACCTTTTGTTAGATGAGAATAATTTAAGTGGAATAGTGGAGTTTGACAAGTTGCTTTACTACAAAATCTCATCCAAGTCTATCTATCCAATAACAAATTCGAATTACGCACTAAATCCCGAATTATGAATGCAACTCTTCCACAGTTCAGGGTTCTAGGGTTGGGATCTTGCAACTTAAGTGAGTTTCCATATTTCCTTAGGTACCAAGAAATATTGGAGTGGTTGGACCTATAGGGAAACAAATTGCATGGCCAAGTACCTAAATGGACGTTGAACACAAGCACAGAAACTTTGCAGATCCCTGCCCTTTCTTTCCACCATCTTTCGGGCTTTGACCATCCTCCTGTTGTTCTTCCCTGGGTTAACATGAGATCGCTTACATTTGCCATGAACTTGGTACAAGGACCATTACCAATACCTCCACCATACACTGAAATATATCACGTTTCAGGCAACAAACTAAGTGGAGAAATTTCACCACTGATTTGCAATATGAGTTTTCTTGTGTGTCTTGATTTGTCAAACAACAAGTTGAGTGGCATGCTTCCACAATGTCTCGGAAACTTCAGCGATTATCTGCAGATTTTAAATCTTGGAAACAACTCTTTCCAAGGCTATCTTCCTCTTGCATACAGCAAAAGAAGCAATCTGAGGGTGATCGATGTTAGCCATAACCAATTGCAGGGACAACTTCCAAGGTCATTGGAAAACTGTGTGATGCTTGAGTTTCTTATTTTGTCAAACAATAAATTCAGTGATGTCTTCCCTTTTTGGTTGGGATGTCTTCCAGAGTTAAAAGTTTTAGCAATGCGCTATAATGAGTTCCATGGTGTGATAGGCAAACCACAAAGCAATCATTGTTTCCCCAATTTGGGCATTTTCGACCTTTCCTACAATAATTTCTCAGGTGAGTTCCTAATTGACTGCATTTTCTCTGAGAAGGCAATGATGAGGTAAGATATTACTGTAAACCAGTCAACATATATGAAGGCAAGCGTAAATTATGTTGCCGTTCAGTTTTTAATGCTGAACAGTTACGATTTCTAGATCACAATAGCAAATAAAGGTGTGGAAAGATACTACTCAAGGATTCAAGAAGCCTTTGCAGCCATTGACACCTCAAGCAACAGATTTGAAAGGAAGATTCATGAATTCATTGGGAAACTAAAAGGACTTCGCTCGCTCGACATTTCAAACAACAATCTCACAGGCAACATCCCTTCATTCTTAGGCAACCTAGCGCTGCTCGAATCATTGGAACTATAATGACCCGGTCCTAAATAAATTTTTATTTGTTAATTTATTTAGGTAAAAGACAATTTTACCCTATAGAATATTTTATTGGGTTTAAAGTTGACTTTTTGACCGAGAAGGAATTTGGGAATTCGGACCGTACCGTTGTGTAGAGCACGGCGAGATGAGTTCGTAGACACGTATTGAGCTCGAATCGGAGTTATAACGAGAGAGATACGATCAAAATACCCTCAGTGCCATAACTGTAATTTTGGCGAAAAGGGTTTGATAAAAATCAGATTCTCTGTCTCTATCTCTGTCTGTCTCTCTGTCTCTCTCTCTCTCTCCTCGCGATGGCAGATCTCTCTCTCTTTTCGAATCTCCGGCCACCGGCCACTGCTGCGGTCGGGACCGGTGCCAAAAGGACCGGCTCAGCCCCGCCGTCAAGACCCGGCCCTTCCCCGACATCAGCCGCCGGAAAACGTGAGTTTTAGGCCGGTTTCCACTTGAAACTTAGCCGGCTTCGATCTCTCTCTTCCGGCCGCCATTTTTGGCAATCAAGGTATGGAAATTCATCATTTCTTCATAATCTAGCTGATGGTTGGGTAGGATTGCATCAATTTTGAGCGTAGATAGCTTGATTTTCGAATTGGATTTCGGCCGGTTTTGGGATCTCAATTCCGGCCACTTCCGGTCAGTTTTTGAGGTAGGTCCAAGAACAAAAGTGGTTCCAATTATGGTGTTTTACCGAGCGTAGGAGCCTTGAGTCGTGATTTGGAGTTTTTCAGGCGAAAGGTTATCGCTTTGGACACCCACGCGCTGCCTGCGCGTGTGGCGGCTCGTGGACACTCTAGAAAAGGGGCATTGAGTCCCGAGGTGATCTCTTGGTCCTCACGAGCGTGTAAGTGTGCTCGGATTTCAATTTGGATATCGTTTAATCATCGATTTGATATCGCATATTGTGCGTTATCCGAGTTCGATAGGTTTGAACTGTTGGATCGTCGTGAATTTAATATATGTCAATCTAGACATTCCTAGGATCGTGTAGGATTCGACGAATCGTGGGGTCTGCCCTCACGCTAGAAAATCCTACGCCACGTGGGACCTAGCCATCATATCACATAATCTCCCCATACGACGGAACTTCCAACGCCACGTATGGGGTCTGTCTCAACTTCGGAAAATCCTGCGCCATGCGAGACCTAACAATCACATATCACATAATCTCCCCATACGCCGAAACATCCAACGCCATGTATGGGGTCTGTCGACACGCCAGAAAATCCTACGCCACGTGTGACCTCTCATCTCATATCACATAATCCCCATACACAGGAACATCCAACGCCACGTATGGGGTCTGTCAACACGCCGGAAAATCAAACGCCATGTGTGACCTCTCATCTCATATCACAGGATGGTGCTTACAGTGGAATCAAACATCTTAATAACTTTATAATATATATATATATATTAATTTTCACTATTTCATAAACCTCAACCATAATATAATATCCGATAATCCCCCAATTTAAAACAACAAAATAATATCCTAATCCCACATACACCATATAACTCAACTAACAATCAAGACCTGTCACTGGGGTCATTATAATCCCCCTAGGAAGGTAAAACTACCTAGGAAGGCTCACGGTCAACTAAGGGTCAAACTACCTAAACTTGGTGAAACGGGCCCTCGGGGCCCACGACCTCCAAACTCCTATCCGAAAGTTCCTATGTGCTCAACAAAGCTTAGGACACACGTCCTGCAAGTTTGGTCCAGATCGGACAGTCGGATCGCTCACGATCACACGATCGGATGGTTAATGTAAACCTAGCCCTATGGTTAGCATTTCCAGAGTATCCAGGACTCCTTTTTACGATCCGTCAAATCCTACATGATCCTAAGGATGTCCAGATTAACCTATAATAAACTCAAGACCATCCAACGGTCCAAACCTAGCGAACCCAGATAACGCGCAATAGGCGATATCCTTTCGAGACTCAAATGGTATCCAAATTGAAATCCATGACATCCTATGCGCTCGTGAGGACCAAGGGATCATTCTAGGACTGAATGTGGTCCCCACCCTATTGCCCACGCGCCGCCACATGCGCCGGCAGCTCGTGGGTGGCTTGATCAATTTCCGGCGGCCGGAAAAACTCTAAACCACCGGCCCAACTTCCAACCCTAGGTGTAACACCCTATTTGTAAACACTTTTGTTCTTGGATCTACCCCAAAAAGTGACCGGAAGTGGCCAGAATCGGAGGCCGAAAAACGGCCAACTTCCATAGCTTAATCGACCTCCAAAACGCAGAAATCTCTCAAATCTAACATAACAGGCAGAAAGAACAGCTCGAGAGGTTGAGAAAGCATACCTGGATCGACGAAAATGGTGGCCGGAGCCGTCCGAACGAGCTCCTTGAATTTTGGGTTTAAACCAGTCGGATTTTTGCATTTTCCGGCGATCACAGGTGGTTCCAGCGGCTGAGATTGGTCGGGATGGAAAGAGGGAGGTGGCCCGGTTCTTTTGGGACCAGTGCCACCCCAAGCGGTGGCCGGATGCTACGGTGGTGACCAAAAAACCCCGGTGGTGAACAGTAACAGGGGGGGCTGTTTCTGCGCGCAGTGGGGGAGAGAGAGAGAGAGAGGGTTTTCAGATTTTTTTTTATTGAAAACCCATTTCGAAATATTTACGGTTTTACCACTGGTGATGTTTTGCTCGTAACTTCTTCGTTATAGCTCCGATTTGAGCCCACTATGTGTCTACGGACTCATCTCAATACAACCTACGTAACCATACCACTCGTTGTCCCAAAGTCCTTCCGGATAAGAAATGACCAAATTACCCATACCCGAAGGGTAAATTCGTAATTTCAATTAAATAATTTAAATGGGTAATTAAATTTGGAGTCGGGGTGTTACATTGTTGGTAGTGGTTTCGGATTATTTGAAGGTCGGAGGCCATTATGTGAATTGCATGCTATTACATTGTGCATGCTGCCAGTTGCGGATATTAAATGTGTTTTATGCTGGTTGAAATTCTGGAAAATGTTCAATTTACAGGGGAGACTGCCGAAATTTCTGTAGAAAGTCTCGTACCCTTATTCCTTTTTGGGAAAAGAGGATATAGTTTCAGAAGTAGGCCCGACATTGGGGTGATGTCGGGAATTCCACAGGATTCGTCTTGGGTTTCGAAAAATTTGGGGCGGGTCCTGTCAGGGCCTTTCCCAAAACAAGCTCTCGGAAGAGATTCCCCAGCACGTGACACAGCTGACATTCCTTGCAGAATTCAGTGTCTCCCACAACAATCTCACAGGTCTTATACCACATGGAACCCAACTAACTTTGTTCAATAGCTCTTCATATGAAGGAAACTCGGCTTGTGTGGGGATCCACTGCCTAAGAAATGTGGAAATGCTGAGACCCCTCAACTGTCACCTTCAAGCAGAGAAGAAAACAATTCGGGCTCTAGAATTGGATTTGATTGGAAATTTGTTTTGGCGAGGATCGAGAGTGGGTTGCTTGTGGGAGTAGTTCCTGCGGACAATGTGATCACAAGGGGGAAGGAGTTATTTATTGAGATTGTAGAAATGATCAGATAAATGATAAGAAAAAAGTAGAGTGATGCAGAAATTCATAAGGTTATGCATTTGATGTTATATTTTGCTTGTTTTTATGTTGCATGTATTCCGAATCATGTGTATGTGTGATGGCTTATGGTACGATCCTTGGCATCGCACGCATCGTTGAATAAAATAAATTTGTAAAAAAGAAAATTGCATGTATGTATGGCAATTACAAGCAAAATATCAAAAATACTTCATGGTAATTGCCTTTTGTGTCCTTACTAGTCCAAGTTTTTCGATTTCTTGATGCATAGCAAAGATCAAATCAAAGACCAAAGATCAAAGTACATGTAAATTTCAAACCATGGTTGGTTGTTCCCCATCCCCATCTTGTGGCTCGTCTATTTGAGTCCAATCTATAAATTCTAATTCTAGTTCTCTCACAGTTCACTTCCATGCATGTTTATCTAGCTCATACTGCACAATAGATTAAGTTGTCTATATATTATAACACCTCTATGTTACATGTTGGATTCTACACCCCTATATCCTTAGTTATATGATGAAATAAGAGAGTTCTTATTGGCACTCTAAAATAGTTATCGTATAGTCATTTGTTTTCTGACCAAAAACATTCACATGTTTCTTTTTTTTTCTTTTTTTTCTAATAAAGAAGGGTTATAAAGAACTGTTCTTTCCTACTATTGATCTATTGAATTGAGCTCAGCCACATATGATCTTTCAGCCTATTATTTGTGATGATTTTGTCTCATTTTCCATCAAATTCTTCTTTCGTGTCCATACCCCATATGCATTTGCAGATTTCCGTAAAACATTCTCCAATGCCGGGTTTCTTCTTAAACTTATTCAAGATATGTCGTATGCAATATCACTGGAATGTTGTCAGGAGAGTTACAGCAATTGCCTTTGACATGGTTGCATCTTGATCAGTGATGATAATTTTGGGTGGCTCACCTACATGGCTTTCTTGAATTCCTCGAACAACCATACAAATGAATTTGTGGTTTTACTAGTTAGGAATGCACAACCAAACAACACTATCTACCAATGGTTATTAACGCTTAACAATGGCGCAAAGACCATCCCATAGTGGTTCATGTTGAATGTTGTATCAAATACAACCACATTTCCAAAAAAACCCATAAGCTCGTCTTGACCTTGCATCTGACCAGAAAACATTACCTAGCCTTCCTTCTGAATCTACCTCCATCTTGAAATAAAATGATTCATTCTTTTCTTGCTCAGCCAAAAAATGCTCCTTAAGCAGCTCTACATCATGCCCAATCACCTCCCTACGCACGTTCCTTAATTAATTATAGACATCTATCTCTTTTAACAAACCCAACATTTTTCAATCCCCCTACTTGCACCTCAAGAAGGCTTACCTATTTATGTATAGAGGTTGCATGTTGAGTGGGAAGTGGGGCCATATGTATATATAATATTGGGATATGGGTTTGTGAATTTTCACCATCATATGTATCTTTCCCAGTTCAATATGTATGGTAACCACACCTGCATTGAGGTATTTTCCAATGTGTGAGATGTTGATTACCCAGGCACCCTCGGCAAGGTGTGTCGTAGGCCTTGACCTGCATTCCGTGCGCATAAGACTTATTTTAGCCACACGTATATTGAGGATTCTACCATGCATGTCTAGGGAGCAAGTCCCCCAGTTGAACTGCTCATTCCTTAGCCACATGAGTATTGACGATTCTGCCATGTGGTCTAGTAAAACGATCCCCGCGTTGGATTGTTTCCCCTCGGTACATGATGTGCACTATCATATGTATCTCCCTTGCTTTTGATACTTGATATATTAGGCACATGGTAACTCTTCAAAGGTGTGTCGGTATACCGGGCACCCTTCATCAGGTGTACCGAAGGTCTTGACCGACAGTCTACGGGCCTAGGAGGGATATTCTGCCACATGTGTATCGAGGATTCTACCGTGCGTGTCTAGGGAGCAATAGTCCCCCGGTTGGACTGCTCATTCCCCAGCACATGAGTATTGAGGATTCTGCCATGTGGTATAGTTAAAACAATCCTAGTGTTGGATTGTTTTCCCCCTAGTACATGATGATGGTGTGGGTTGTGTAATATAGATATATATATATATATATGCATATATAGATAATGGGTACAAAATTAGGAGAAGGAAAGGGTGAGTTTTATGTGTTATAAATTGGATTTTTAGATACTGGATTTTATTATTATTGTAAATGTCTTACATGTTCATTTGAACTTATTATATTTATTAAGTGATTAATGTTTATTGATTTATTGGAAACTAGGTTGTGGATTGAGTTTTTATTATATAAATTTATGACCGTGTGTTTTGGGATTTGGGAGTGGTTTTGAGTTTCAGTCGCACGGGAGTTGAGGATTCCGTCGTGCCTATCTGGGGATTAAGTTTCAGCAGCACAGGTGTCGAGGATTCTCGTGTTTGGGAAGGGTGTATATGTAAAGATAAAGGTATAATGGGAACAACTGTGGGATTTTCTTGAGCATGTGCTTAGTGAGTGCTCTGCGTAGGGGTGATCTTTGTTTGATGCTCAGACAATATCTGTATGTTTTTGAATTGTGATCCTTTTTATTAGAAAGAACTACGTGTAGCTTGATCCCTCAGTAAGGGTATGTAGACAACCTAAGTTAACTTAGGTGCAGCCGCAAAATAAATCATTTGAACTTTGCTCGAATTTTTCTAAGTGTGGAAGTGATCAATGTTTGGAAGTAGAAAGGTTAAACATTACCGCAGCTATCAGAAGATACTTTTAGTGGGAGAAGGGGACTTCTCTTTTTCTGTTTGCCTAGCCCAAGCTTTGGGCTTAGCTGTCAACATGGTTGCGACTTCTCTCGACTCCAGAGGTAATTTTAGATCTCCATTGATTTGTGTCAACGTCCAAGTACTTCATTTTTCTTACTCATTATTTCTGGTCAATTCCTTGGTTTTCATGCAACCCATTTTGAGATTTAAATGAAAACATCCGATTCTACTCTAAATTTGGTTACTTTTTATGTCCGCAGTTTGACTCTATGTTTGGTTTTAGAATTTACAATTTGGTAATGACCCAAAAGAAACACTAGATAGAGGAGACCAAAGATTTTGTCTTTCAAATAAAACAACCCTATTTGAGATACTTGGCATGCCGATTGTAGAGTCTTTGATGCTGAAGTATTCAAAAGCTTTGAGCATTGTGAAAGAATTAGAGGCAAGGGGATGTATAGTATTGCATGACGTCGATGTCTACAGCATAAGCCAATACCCTTTTTTGATTAGATTACGCTATGATCGTGAAATATATAATTTTCCTCACGCTCGTTACTTGCTTGGTCCCTCTTCTTCTAAACGCAACAGGTTCAAATTTGGTAAAGTCCGTTTTTCAGGGGAGACTTGGCCGAAATTTCTATAGAAGTCTTGCCCCCTTGTCTTGGTTGAGCGGGGAAGAGAGTAAATTTTAGTAAGTGGCGTGCATTGTTTGGATGCTGGAAGGGTAACAGGGTTCAACATGAATTTCGAGGAGGAATTCAAGTCAGGTCCTGTTAGTATTTTTATGTTTTTAACTTAAATTTTGTGAAGATGTAAGTTAAAAACTATTGATTTACACTTTAGAATTCACCAAAAGGATTGAAATACGAAGACTTAAAATTGATTAACTAAATTGAATGACTAAAATGAAGTTTATATAGGTGCAAAAAGTCAAGGGCAATTACCATAATTAACCCCCAATTAATTCACTTGAAGTCCAGAGCACATGGTGACGTGCATGTTTGATATAAGGCCCCTTGAAGACGTAACTTTGGAAATTCACATTTGGTCTCAATTTCGCAGCACCAGAATTCAATATGGCAAATTGACTTGGAGTTTCTTGGTCTTTTGAATTGGAAATATCACGAATTGCATTTATATATGTAATTTAGAGGAACCAGTTTTTACTTTCAAGGATGGAATTTTCTGTGATCGTGAGTTCTTGACTTTAGCCATTTGCAGTGTGAAAACACTATGCCCCGAGTTTATTATTATTATTATTTTACAATCCCTTCTTTATTGATCAAAATGTCGAAAAATATTCTCTTGATGAAGATGGTTAGCTCGGAGTAATATTAAGTAGTTATTTATTTACTATATACAAGTATGTCTCGGAATATTTTTGTCCAAATCCGCACACCTTGTTTGAAAATGTTGGAATATTAGGAGGTGTGAGTTTTTGTGACGCTCTGATACTATGGTTGGTTTATGTGATGAAGGGGTTTAGGACAATAAGACAATAGTTGAAACAAAATGATTGTATTACATTGGAGGAGAATAGTACAAAGTGATTTTATTTCATTTATGATTTCAGAACCACCATAACAAATAAAGGTGTGAGGAGATACTACCTAAAGATTCAAGAAGATTTTACATCCGTTGATCTCTCAACCAAAAAATTCAAAGGGAATATTTCTGAATTCATTGGGAACCTAAAGGGACTCCGATTGCTCAATGTTTCCAACAGCACTCTCAGTGGTTGCATCCCATCATCTTTAGAACTTAACACTGCTTGAATCGTTGGACCTTTCACAAAACAAGCTCTTAGGGGAGATCCCTCGAAAACTCACCCACCTTACTTCATTTGACATTATTGTTGGAAAAACAACAATCAGTGACTAATTAAAACAATTATATAAACATAATTTATAACAAACTGTAATACAGAATACAGTATATAAACAATAAATGAAATTGACTTGGATTCGAGATAGAGGCTTGCAGATTTGATGCAATGTCCTAAAGACAGTAATTTCATCCCTTCTCGGTGCTTGAAGTTCTACAGGTGACTGCCTCCCAGGATTCAACTATCTGTATTCTAAGCCCTAGCACTCGGACTTAGAATCTGGCGAACGTTGTTTGTTTTCCTCTTAGACAAGATGAGATGCTTATGAATGCTTTTTCTGTGTGAAACGTATGAGGCCTTTGTTTGATTTAAATAAACTTCTAAAACCTTATCAGAAGAGTCACAACTGTTAGAAAACAATTAATAAAACTAATCCGAATTAATAAAAAATTATTAATTCGAAACCAAAAAAATAATTTTAAATCTGAAAGTGCCCCAAGGCCCATCTTTTTGACCATTAAATATTATATAATTTTATATAATATTCAAAGCCCAAATCGTTTTTGAAGCCCAAATTGCTTCCATTTGGCCCACTTCCATTTACTATGTGTGGGACTTCCACACTTATAAAGACCTCACTCTTTCTACTTTCTACCAATGTGGGACAAAGGTTCTTGAATTTCATTCCAACTTCCAACAATACCCCACATTTGAATCGAAATTCTAGACCCCACATTTGAAATGTTATACTTATAGTGCTAAATGAATGTAATGCATTTGAGAGGAAGCAGATGTTATATACATCAGGAAAAGTGTCTTTTGGACTTGAACTTACCCTAGTGAAAACATATCGGATTTACTTGGTGATGCAGTGGATATAATTGATCTTGAATTGTTCACTGCTATAGTAAACCTAGACAATATCTCTCACACATATAACATCTTAACAAACGTTAGTTCATACGTTTTTTTTTTCATTTTTGTCCTAAACATATCCCAGGTTTCATGAGAGCTTTAGAGAACTTAGCCCTTTTTCGTTCTCATAAATGCGACCCCACATTTACTCCTATATAGGTGACACCATTTAAGAGTTTTCTGCCTAAACTCCTCTTAATAAGATATTAGTGTCATTAAATGCAAAGCATACCCTTCACATCAACAGACAACACAATAACCATCATAGGAATGAGTTAAATTGTGTGTTCAACTTTTGAATCTTACCCAACCAGTTTGCCTATTGAACCTAGACCATGAGATCTCCAATCAACTAGGTTAGGTTTCCGCCAGGTTTGATTCATTGGATTGGCTTTAATCCCATTCCCCTCGATGTAAATTTGATTTGCTTTCTTGGTAGACCTTTTGTCAAAGGATCTGCAATATTTTCCTTTGACTTCACACAGTCAATGGATATAATTCCATTTGAGAGCAATTGTCTAATTGTATTATGCCTACGCCTGATATGTCTTGACTTTCCATTGTATACACCACTCTTGGCTCTTGCTTGTGCTGCCATACTATCACAATGTATACAAATTGCTGTCACAGGCTTAGGCCACATTGGAATGTCCTCTAGGGAAGTTTCTCAGCCATTCTGCTTCTTCAGCAGTTTTATCTAAGGCTACAAACTCTGATTCCATTGTAGAGCGTGCTATACACGTCTGTTTAGAGGATTTCCAAGATACTGCAACTCCACCTAATGTAAATACATATCCACTAGTTGATTTGGTTTTTGTACTGTCAAAAATCCAATTTGCATCACTATAGCCTTCTAGAACTTGTGGATATTTAGTGTAGTGCAATCCATAATCTTGGGTGTATTTCAAATATCTTAACACCTTGATTAATGCCTCCCAATGATCATGTCGAGGATTGCTTGTGTATCTACTAAGCCTGCTTACTGAATAAGCTAAATTTGGCCTAGTAGAATTCATTAAATATATTAGGCTCCCAATTACTTGGGAATACTCCAATTGAGAAATTGCATCTCCACTATTCTTCTTTAACTTGCAATTTACATCAAAAGGAGTCATAGCAGGTTTGCAGTCAAATTAACCAAACTTTCTTAAAAAATTTCTGCATAATGGGATTGAGTAAGAATATACCCATCATTATTTCTTTTGATTTGAATTCCCAAAATGACATCAGCCTGACCTAAGTCTTTCATGTCAAAACTTGAATTCAACATCTTCTTTGTAGAATTTATTGCATCGTTACTTGTTCCCATTATGAGCATGTCATCAACATATAAACATACAAGAACACAAGAATTCTTGTTGTTTTTTATGTAAACACACTTGTCACATTCATTGATCTTAAATCCGTGTGACATCATTGTATGATCAAACTTTTGATGCCATTGTTTTGGAGTTTGTTTAAGTCCATATAAAGACTTAACAAGTTTACATACTTTAGTTTCTTGACCTTTTACCACAAAACCTTCTAGTTGTTCCATGTATATTTCTTCATCTAATTCCCCATTTAAGAAAGCTATTTTTACATCCATTTGATGTATGTCCATATTGTGTATTGCAGCCATAGAAATTAGCATCCTTATAGATGTAATTCTTGATACTGGAGAATAAGTGTCGAAATAATCCAACCCTTCCTTTTGCCGATACCCTTTAGCAACTAAACGTGCCTTGTATTTATCAATAGTACCATCAGCTTTTAGCTTTCTCTTAAAAATCCATTTATATCCAATTGGTTTGTTACCATGTGGTAAATCAACCAATTCCCACGTATTGTTCTGCATAATGGATTATATTTCGCTATTAACAGCTTCCTTCCATAAAGGAGCCTCAGGTGAAGCCATAGCTTCCTTATAAGTTTGTGGTTCTTCTTCAGTCAGGAAACTTACAAAATCTGGTCCAAAACTTTTTGGTGTTTTAGTCCTCTTTCCTCTTTCTAGGTTCTACTTCTTTTTCTTGGACACCTGAAGAGGATGGTTCATTAGGATTTCCATCATGTACTTTCCTTTTGTTTGAACCGGACCTCTTTTCTTTGTAAGGAAAAATTTCCTCAAAGAAATCAACATCAACAGATTCTATAATTGTGTTAACATGTATATCAGAAATATCAAATTTAATAACTAAAAATCTATATGCAGCACTTGTGTTAGCAAAACCTATGAAAACACAATCAATAGTTTTAGGTCCAAGTTTTACCCTTTTTGGTAAGGGTACTTGTACTTTAGCTAGGCAACCCCACACTTTCAGTGTATTGTTTGTAGGAATCCGTCCTTTCCACATTTCATTAGGAGATTGTTTACTCTTCTTATGTGGAATTCTGTTCAAGATGTGATTTGCAGTAAGTAAGGCTTCACCCCACAGATTGTGTGGAAGCCCAGAGCTATTCAACATGGAATTTATCATATCCTTGAAAGTTCTATTTTTCCTTTCTGCTACACCGTTTTGTTGTGGTGTATATGGTGCAGTGGTTTGATGTATAATTCCATGAGTTGCACAAAAATTAGAAAATGCAGTGGACTCATATTCTCCACCTCTATCTGATCTAAGTACTTTTACTTTTCTATCACGTTGATTCTCAACTTCTACCTTGTATGTCTTAAATATCTGTAAGGCTTCATCCTTGCTATGTATTAAGTATACATAACAATACTTACTGGAATCATCTATAAATGTTATATAATAATTTTTCCCACCACGAGTTGGTGTAGATTTAAAGTCACAAAGGTCACTATGAATTAATCTAAGTAATTCATTTGACCTTCCTTGAACAGATTTAAAGGTTTGCCTAGAAAACTTGGATTCTGTACAAGTTTCACACTTATTATCAAAGTCAATATCAAATTTAGGCAATAAACCTAGATGCATCATTCTATGCATAGATCAATAATTTACATGACCTAATCTAGCATGCCAAATATTTGAAGACTCAGCAAAGTAAACGGAAACCTTATTTATTTTATTAAAAGCATCATTGCCAATTACATTGAGTTTGAATAAGCCATCAGCAAGGTAACCCTTTCCAACAAACAGCCCTTCTTTGGTTAGGATGAACTTGTCAGATTCAAATACAAGTTTGAAACCCTTCTTACTAAGAATAGGACCAGACACTAAGTTCTTCCTAATTTCAGAAACATGCAGTACATCCAAAAGGGTTAAAACCTTCCCAGAAGTGAACTTTAGCAGCACACTGCCTTTGCCTTCAACTGCAAATACAGAGGCATTTCCCATGTACAGTTTCTCAACACCAGAATTCTGTTTGTAATCAGTGAACAGATTTCTGTCACCACAAATGTGCCTAGTAGCACATGTATCAACCCACCAGTCCTTAGTATCAGAAACCATATTGGTTTCAGACACTACAGCCACAAAATTGTCATTGACTTCAGTCATGTTGGCTTGAGGATTGGTTGGATTTTGGTCTCTTCGGTGGCAGCAATCTTGTGCTTTATGCCCTGTTTTTCCACATACCCAGCAAGTGCCTTTGATTTTCTTGAAATCCTTGCCTTTTGGTGCATGAGTATTGGCATTGTTCTTTGCAACTTTCTTGCCTTTGTTTTCTGGAACTTTGGCTTTTGATGTCTCAACGACATTGGCTTTGGCTTCCATGACAGGCACTTCACCCTTGTCCCTTTCTTGTGATCCTCCTCAACTCGAAGCCTCAAAATCAGATCCTCCATAGACATCTCTCTGCGCTTGTGCTTCAAGTAAATTTTGAAGTCTTTCCATGATGGAGGCAGTTTCTCTATGATTGTTCCAACTTGGAAGTGTTCAGTAATATAACACCCCTCTGCAAGCAAATCATGGATCAGAATTTGAAGTTCTTCAACCTGTTTAATAACAGTCTTCAAATCAACCATGGCATACTTGAGAAATTTGCCAATCACGAAACTTTTTGGCACCAGCATCTTCTGTTTTGTATTTTTTCTCAAATAATTCCCAAACTTCCTTTAGAATTGTATGATGAATAAATGTCATACAGAGTATCATCAAGCCTGTTAAGGATGTAGTTTCTGCACAGGAAATCAGATTGTTTCCAAGCCTCAATGGTCATCGTTGTTTCCTTAGACATTGGATTTTCTCCTGATTTGGGAGCCTCCTTTCTGACAACATGTGCCAGATTCATGGTTGTGAGATAGAACAACATCTTCTGTTGCCATCTCTTGAAGTCAATTCCCTTGAACTTCTCGGGCTTCTCGTCATAAGGATTCTTAGTCACCCCGTTCACAGTCACTGATGATTGTGAATCCATCACTTACTGTCTTTAGATTGTTGGAAAAACAACAATCAGTGACTAACTAAAACAATTATATAAACAAAATTTATAATAAACTGTAATACAGAATACAATATATAAACAATAAATGAAATTGACTTGGATTCGAGATAGAGGCTTGCAGATTTGATGCAATGTCCTAAAGACAGTAATATCACCCCTTCTCAGTGCTTGAAGTTCTATAGGTGACTGCCTCCTAGGATTCAATTATCTGTATTCTAAGCCTTAGCACTCGGACTTAGAATCTAGCGAATGTTGTTTGTTTTCCTCTCAGACAAGATGAGATGCTTGTGAATGCTTTTTTCTGTGTGAAACGTATGAGGCCTTGTTTGATTTAAATAAACTTCTGAAACCTTATCAGAAGAGTCACAACTGTTAGAAAACAGTTAATAAAACTAATCCGAATTAATAAAAAATTATTAATTCGAAAACAAAAAAATAATTTTAAAACTGAAAGTGACCCAAGGCCCAAGGCCCATCTTTTTACCATTAAATATTATATTTTATATATTCAAAGCCCAAATCGTTTTTGAAGCCCAAATTGCTTCCACTTGGCCCACTTCCATTTACTAAGTGTGGGACTTCCACACTTATAAAGACTTCACTCTTTCTACTTTCTACCAATGTGGGACAAAGGTTCTTGAATTTCATTCCAACTTCCAACAATTACTTCGTATGAGTGAAACGTGAGGCTATGTGGTGATCCATTGCCAGAGAAATGTGGAAATACTGAGGCCCCTCAATTGCCACCTTCCTCTGTAGAAGAAGATGATTCAAGCTCTGGAATAGAATTTGACTGGAAATTTGTTTTGGCGGGATTTGGAAGTGGGTTGGTAATCGGAGTGGTTTTAGCAGACCTTTTGATCACAAGGAGGCCTGAGTGGTTTATTAAGATTGTTGCAATGGTCAGACCAATGATAAGGACGAAGTAGGGGCACCTAGAAATTGAGGTTATGGCTAGGTTCTCTATCTGTTGGTTTTTCAGCTCACCTTCTCTGTACACCTTAGTTTTCTGTCTTCGCCTTGACTTGGAGTTATGATAATATGGCATCAGTTATGATGAAGTAATGCAAATGAGATTTCACAGTGCTGGTTTTAGATTACACTTGACTTGCCATACACTCTCTTCTCAATAAATTTCTTTTTTCCCTTGTTATGATATTGTAATTAGCTGCTGATTTAAAACTGTGTTTTGTGCTTAAGTATTTCATAAGTAAATACCGATTTTTCTTTTACAAAATTATTATAACAGAGATACATACACATTAAAATACTACAAAGGGAAAAAAAAAAAAGGCAAACCACAACATCAAATGCATAACCTTACCCTTTCCTGGTAAATGCTCTACTAGCTGTCAATCATTTACAAATTCATACGGTGTCAATTTTACGAGTAATTATAGAATACTTTAAGGTTAAAAAATTAATTTTTGGTCAGTTGGGTTAGGGTCGAAAATGCTTTTGGTTTGGTTTTAATTTTCCAAATTTGATCACCACATTTGCAACATGTGCCTCAATTCCGTAAGTTTCATTAATTAAAAAATATTTTATGTTAAATTAAAAATAATTACTTTAATATAAAATTTAATATTTAAAAACAAAAGACAAAAACAAAAAAGCCCTGTCCCATGTTCCCCACCGACCCAAGATCGTTCGATCAACTCAATTATTCCCATCAATAGGTAGCTCTCGAGCTTTCACTTTCATAGACGATTATTTAGCTTGACTTTGAGGAAAAGTACGTCTCATAATATTTTTGTCCCAATCCGCACACCTTGTTTGAAAATTAATCTTGTCATGTCATTGCTCAATAATTTAGTCCAATCTATAAGTTTTGGCTCTCTCGCTCTCACTTTACCTTTCATGCATGTTTAGTTTACAAAGATCAACAAAATTCTCGATTATCAAGAAAAAATATCATGGGGTTACCCCTAAGCCTTTTTAATGTGTCCATTTCCAAGCTTTCAAAAGTAGTTCTGCTGTTCTTTTATCTTGTGGTTGCGAACTCTTTATACTCTTTGCAGCAGCAGCCATCTTGCCATGATGTGGAGAGCTCTGCCTTGCTGCAATTCAAGGAAAGCTTTGTCATCAAGGCATCTGCTTCGGGTTATTTTGGGTCTTATCCAAAGGTTTCATCTTGGAAACTAGCTGAAGGAGAAACTTTCAACTGCTGCTCATGGGACGGTGTCGATTGTGATGAGGAGACGGGTCATGTGATTGGCCTTGATCTCAGCAGCAGTTGTCTCTACGGCTCTATCAGTTCCAACAGCAGCCTCTTCAGTCTTGTTCATCTACAGAGACTAAACCTCGCTGATAATGACTTCAATTACTCTCTAATTCCTACTAAAATTAGGAATTTGCCAAAGCTCACTTATCTCAACCTCTCTGTCTCTGTCTTTTCTGGTCAAGTCCCAACGGAAGTTACACAGTTGTCCAAGTTGTCGTCGCTTGATCTATCTCTCAATATTGACCCATTTTCTTGGGAAAATTTGTTGAAACTTGAAGCATCAACTATGAAAAGCCTAGTTCGAAACTTCACTAGCCTAGAAGAACTTGATCTTAGTCGTGTTGACATATCTTCAGGAGTAGCCAATTACATGGCAAATTTGTCACTTTTGACATCTCTCAACTTAACAAATTGTGGCATGTTTGGTGAATTCCCCGCAAGAGTTTTCAGATTACAAAACTTGAAAATTCTTAGCATGAGATTCAACCAAGGTATCACTGGCTATCTGCCTGAATTTAATCGAAGTAGTCCTCTCATGGTACTGGAACTGGCAGGAACAAGTTCTTCTGGAATTCTACCTTCTTCATTCGAAAAGCTTGAATCCTTGAACAAGTTAGATGTGAGTGAATGCAACTTCTCAGGTATGGTTCCCCTCTCACTTGGTAATCTTAGGCAGCTCAGGTATCTTGACCTTTCACTAAACAAATTTAATGGTCCAATCCCTGCTTCCTTGTCAAACCTTACTCAACTCACATATCTCCAACTTTCTGATAATAATTTTAGTAGTGGTCCCTATTATTGGCTTGGTAAGCAAACCAAACTTACTCAACTGCGCCTCGTAAATATCAATTTAAGTGGTTACATCCCATCTTCTCTTTGCAACCTCACACAGCTCACTAAACTTGATCTTTCCTATAATGGACTAAGTGGTCCGATCCCATCTTGGCTAGCTAACCTTAGCAGACTAGAATCTATAGACCTTGGTATAAATAAACTGAGTAGTTCAATCCCCAAGTCATTCTTCACTCTTAGGCATCTCAACACCCTTTATCGAGATGGAAATGACTTGCGCGGTTCAGTCGAGATTCTTAAGCTACAAAATGTCACCCGTCTTCAACTAACTGGTCCCAAGTTGGAAATATTGCTCACTGAATCCAGAATTGTGAATGCGACTCTCCCAAACTTTACGCTTCTTAAATTAGCATTGTGCAACATAAAAGAGTTCCCCAATTTCCTAAGGTATCAACAAAACTTGGATTGGTTGGATCTTTCTAGAAACAAATTGCATGGCCAAGTGCCGAAATGGTTTTTGAACACAAGCATAGAAACTCTGGGGTTTCTGGACCTGTCTCTAAACTTCCTTTCTGGCTTTGACCATCAAAACTCTATACTCCTTCCCTGGCTTAACCTAATAGTTTTGAGGCTTTATTCTAACATGCTACATGGACCTTTACCAATACCTCGACCAAACATCATATACTATGCCATTTCAGACAACAAGTTAGATGGAGAAATTTCACCATTGATTTGCAATCTAAGTTCTCTTCAGTACCTTGTTTTGTTGAATAATAAGTTGAGTGGCATGCTTCCTCAGTGTCTAGGAACCTTCAGTGATGATCTACGAGTTTTAAGTCTTGGAAACAACTCCTTCCACGGGTTTCTTCCCCAAACATACTCCAACACAAGCAATCTGAGGATGATTGATGTTAGTGATAACAAATTGCAAGGACAATTGCCGAGGACATTGGAAAACTGTGTGATGCTTGAGTTTCTTGTTCTGTCAAACAATGAGTTCAATGATGTTTTTCCCTTTTGGCTGGGGACTCTCCCAAACTTAAAACTTTTGGCAATGCCCCATAATGGCTTCTATGGAGTGATTGGAAAGCCTAAAAAAAAGCTTCACTTCCCTGAGCTGCGTATTCTTGATCTCTTATAATAATTTCAGAGGCAAATTTCCATCCGAATACATATTTTATGGGAATGCCATGAGAGGTGTCTCTTTAAACCAATCCAAATATATGACCACCTACACATATATTCAAATCGGTGGTGGACAAGGACAGGCTTTCATTTATGATTTCCAAACCACCATAACAAATAAAGGTGTGAGGAGATTCTACCCAAAGATTCAAGAAGATTTTACATCCGTTGATCTCTCAAGCAACAAATTTGAAGGGAATATTTCTGAATTCATTGGGAACCTAAAGGGACTCCGATCGCTCAATGTTTCCAACAACACTCTCAGTGGTTGCATCCCATCATCTTTGGGGAACTTAACACTGCTTGAATCGTTGGACCTTTCACAAAACAAGCTCTCAGGGGTGATCCCTCAACAACTAACCCACCTTACTTTCCTGGCCACACTCAATATCTCTCACAACAACCTTACAGGTCCCATACCACAAGGAACCCAACTTACTTCATTCAACATTACTTCGTATGAGGGAAACCCAGGACTGTGTGGTGATCCATTGCCAGAGAAATGTGGAAATACTGAGGTCCCTCAACTGCCACCTTCCTCTGTAGAAGAAGATGATTCAAGCCCTGGAATTGAATTTGATTGGAAATTTGTTTTGGCAGGATTTGGAAGTGGGTTGGTAATCGGAGTGGTACTAGCAGACCTTTTGATCACAAGGAGGCCGGATAGGTTTATTAAGATTGTTGCAATGGTCAGACCAATGATAAGGACGAAGTAGGGGCACCTAGAAATTGAGATTATGGCAAGGTTCTCTATCTGTTGGTTTTTCAGCTCACCTTCTCTGTACACCTTAGTTTTCTGTCTTCGCTTTGACTTGGAGTTATGATAATATAGCATCAGTTATGATGAAGTAACGCAAATGAGATTTCAGAATGCTTCATGTATTCCTTGTCCTATGTTGTCACAAATGCAATAAGATCATCTACTCTCTTTTTTTTGGTGCTTTGTATTGTACTTATGTCTAAGACGATGTGATTTTGGGTTTCAGAGTTAATAGTAAATGGGAATCCAAAACATACAAGGTAGTTCTAGACATAAGTATGATAAGTGGAGAATCCGAATCCATGTATGATAACTTATGGTAGGTAGGTAGGACACTTGACTGCCATGTCATCGAACGAAACCATTTCGTAAAACTGAGTTGTATAGGTAACATATGAAAAACAAAATTGAAGCACACAAAGTACTTTTAGACTAGTGAAATTGATTTGAAACTTCACATTGCCTCAATTAATAATATTCCTAAGACAGTAGCTAATTACAATATCAGATGAAAGGCAAAAAGAATCTAGACAAGCACATAAGGAAAATGCATGGCAAAGGTTGTCTAAAAAAATAGCTGCATGAATTTCCAGTTGGAGCTTGTCGAAGTGAACGAGGATCGTAAAATATACCTGCACTGTAACCAACTTCAGCCCCAAATTATACTTAGAGATTGTATCCTGTGTCTAAGATTGCTCCGTTTTCATTTTGTGAGAAAATTTTGCCAATTCTGTCTTCTGAACTGACTTCCACTTTGGAACAGTATCCGATGTAAGTATTTCACACCATATGAAATATTAGTCAAACGAAATTGAAACTTAATTATCGAGCTCGAAACTGAAACTTCCATGTACACAACACAAAGACATGTTCTGCAATTTCACAGCTCTGGTTTTAGATTACACTTGACTTGCAATTTCACAGCTCTGGTTATGATATTGTAATTAGCTGGTGATCTAAAATTATAATAACAGATACATACACATTAAAATACAAAGGGGAGAGGGAAACCACTATACCACAAAAAAAAAAAAAAAAAAAAAAAAAAAAAAAAAAAAAAAAGCAAAACACAATCATCAAACCAAATTAACTTACCTTTTTCAGTTTTCAGTTTTCGGTTTGGGTCCTTATCTGACTTCTGGGTTTTCGGGGGTTTCTGGATTGAAGGGGTTTGCTGGATTTCTGTATTTGTGTAATCTGCGTGCTTGTAATTTCTGTTTCTGTTATGTTTTTGAGCTTTTCTAATATCTTTCTTATCAGATTTCTTATTGTTCAAACAGAGCATGCTGCATGCATTGCTCATTTTACTGAATAATCAAACAGAAAATCGCTTCTATGAATTGCGAGATCCAAACTAGAGTGTTGAAACTTGAAACAAAAACTTTGGAATTTTTTAATCTCTGCCCTTTTTTTTTTTTTTTTTTTTTTTTTTGAAGTAAACACTGGGAGTGGTGGAGATAGAGTAAACTGACGCAGAGTATCTATGAGACCGACCTAGACTTTACTAATCTAAGTGGGCTCATCAGCCAATAAGGCTAAGTTTTAGTAGTGATCTTAAATTATTAAGTTATTTTGATATGAGTTTTCCTATTTTCATTAAGAATTTGGTTTTTTCCAGTTTTGATTAAAATTTTCCTATACCAATTAGGATTTAGTTTATTTCCTGTTTTTAAAAATTTTCCTTTGTCAATTAGGTTATGCTATTCCCCAAACAAAAAAAAAAAAAAAAAAAAAAAAAATTATGCTACGGTTTGATGTCTATATAAGCCTGGTTAATAGTTGCAGTAATAGTTCCAACACCCGTGCTCTCCTACATCATAAACACTGTCTGAATACTGAGGAACTTGATAAAAAAACCAGTGGAGAGATTTTTTTATCTTGAATTGCAGTTTTTTAAGCTCTTGTTTCTGGCCCAGACACTGAAGGAGAGAACCGTACATGGACATGGGAGACCTCACAGTTACCTCCAAGGAGGAGCAAACGGCTGCCAAGCTACCCATCCCTGGCAAGCGAAACATCCTAATCACCAGCGCCTTGCCTTACGTCAACAATGTCCCCCACCTAGGAAATATTATCGGCTGTATTTATCTGCTCCTTTTTTTTTTTCCTTCTAATTTTTCAAGAACCAAACAGATTCTTGAAATTAATTCATGTATTTTTAGATCATTTTAATTCATGTATTCTTTTTGTTGTGTTGGCCAGGTGTGTTGAGTGCCGATGTCTTTGCACGCTACTGCCGTCTTCGAGGCTACAATACGGTATACGTATGTGGAACTGATGAGTACGGCACGGCGACAGAGACCAAAGCTATGGAAGAGAAGTGTAGCCCCCAACAGATTTGTGACAAGTAAATTTTTTAGTAAAATTTATATAATTTGGTAAACTTAACTTCTATTTATTGTGTACGTTTTATTGAAATTTATTTCAAATGGTTATATTCTTGTAGATATCATGCAATTCATAGGGAGGTTTACAAGTGGTTTAATATAAGCTTTGACAAATTTGGGCGCACATCGGCACCACAACAAACGGAAGTATGTCAAGCGATTTTCAAAAAGTTGTTGGATAATGAATGGCTTTCAGAGAACACAATGCAGCAGGTAGAATTCACTGGCTTGTAAATGTGTCTTCTATTGGTTTAGTCACTGATTTGCATGCTTATGTCCATGTATTGCGATTGAGTTATGTTTTAAAGTGTATTTCTATCATTTATTTTAACTTGACTTTGTACTGTAATTCAGCTTTATTGTGACACATGCAAACGGTTCTTAGCCGACAGACTTGTGGAGGGGACATGCCCGACTCAAGGTTGTGACTATGCTTCTGCACGAGGAGATCAATGTGAAAATTGTGGAAAGCTTTTGAATCCAACAGAATTAAAAGATCCTAAATGCAAGGTATAGATTTTTTTCATATCCTTTGTGAGAGAGTTTTTTTTTTACTGGCATATAACATTAAATGGAGAGACGCAGTATTGTTACAATCTTATATTTCTCATTTTTGTCGATTGCAAGCAGGTGTGTAAGACAACTCCACGAATTCGTGATACAAATCACTTGTTTCTGGAACTTCCTTTGCTCAAAGATAAACTGGAAGAGTATATCAATAAAACATCAGTGGTTGGGTCTTGGAGCCAAAATGCCATTCAAGCGACAAATGCATGGCTCAAAGAGGGACTTAAACAACGATGTATTACTAGAGATCTAAAGTGGGGGGTTCCAGTTCCACATGATAACTTCAAGGAGAAGGTTAATACTACACTTATGCTAATTCTAACAATTTTTGTTAATGATTTTCAAAATTTGTTACATTTGTTCTAACTCTGTTATTGGTAGGTTTTCTATGTGTGGTTTGATGCTCCGATTGGATATGTATCAATTACTAAATGCTACACTGATGAATGGGAGAAATGGTGGAAAAATCCTGAGAATGTGGAGTTGTATCAGTTTATGGGCAAGGATAACGTGCCATTCCATACAGTAAGCATCGTATTCTCAGCATTTCTTGCTTCAAAAAAGAATTTATTTCAACTGTGTACTTATTTATTTATCTTTCAGGTGATGTTTCCATCAACGCTTCTTGGAACCGGTGAAAAATGGACTTTAATGAAGACTATTAGTGTTACTGAGTACTTAAACTACGAAGCAGGTATGGATGCATGATTCTAGAAGACTATTTATAAAAGCTCAAAGTTTACACCTTTGTGCGGTATGTACTAGGCGATCTAAATTTTAATGGTTTTCACAGGAAAGTTTTCTAAGAGTAAAGGCATAGGGGTTTTTGGAAACGATGCAAAAGATACAAATATTCCTGTTGAAGTATGGAGATATTACTTGCTAACTAATAGGCCTGAGGTAACTTTAATGATTCCCATCTTCCTTTTTGACTCTTTTTATTTTTATTTTTATTTTTTGGGTGATGGTTTGTAATTCATATTCTTCTTTCTCTGTATCTTTGTTTACTCGTTTTAATATTTTGTTTTTTGATGAAATAGGTATCAGACACATTATTTACGTGGGCCGACTTGCAAGCAAAACTGAACAGCGAATTGCTGAATAATTTGGGCAACTTCATAAATAGAGTTTTGAGTTTTGTTGCCAAACCTTCAGGTCGGTCAGCATTTCGTTTTAACATGCATGGTATATGTGGCACTTTGCAACATATAAACTAACAAAATCCATGTACAGGTCAAGGATATGGTTCCATTATTCCAGATGCTCCAAGGGCAGAGTCAGATCTTTTAACAGAGAAATTAGCTGAAAAAGTTGGAAAATATGTGGAGCAATATATAGAAGCAATGGAGAAGGTAATTGATATTTAGATGACAGTCTTGTTGCAAATGACTGGAAGCGTCTCCTCCCCACCTTCCTTTTTCACATGTCTTGCATTGGCATGACATTCTATCTACATTTTGTGTAGGTTAAACTAAAGCAAGGACTGAAAACAGCAATGAGCATTTCTAGTGAAGGGAATGCATATCTGCAAGTAAGCACGTTTTTAATCCCTGTTTGAGAGACTTGTTTATGGATATGTTCTTTTGTTAAGTATATTGCTTGGAAATGACTGTGAAACCGATTATTCAGCTGCTGCTAAGTTGCATCCTCTGTAATTACCATGCAGGAAAGCCAGTTCTGGAAGCTTTACAAGGAGGACCAACCTCGTTGCGCTGTTGTTATCAGAACTTCAGTCGGACTAGTGCATCTTCTTGCTTGTTTGTTGGAACCTTTTATGCCATCATTTTCTCTCGAAGTAAAAAATTCTGCTCGCAGATGATTGTGTTACTCTGAAATATTTCTTTGATCATGTGATATTACTATAATCATCCATGCTGATATATATATTTTTTCTTTAACTGCATTCAAGGTATTTAAGCAGCTTAATTTACCTCCTGAGAAGCACATATCACTTTGTGATGATAAAGGAGATATTGATAGGGCAAGACAACCTTGGGAGATTGTACCTGTTGGTCACAAGATTGGGAAACCAGAGCCATTGTTCAAGGAATTGGTATGTCTTTGATGTGCTTTGTCTTTCAATGTTGCACTCTCTAGCCTGCCATGATATGATTGCTGCATCACTTGCCTATTTGTAGATTCTAATTTAATGAAAGTTTGTACTTGGACACAGAAAGATGAAGAAGTGGAGTCCTTAAGGAAGAAGTTTGCTGGAAGTCAAGCGGACAGGAAGGAGCGGGAAGAAGCTGAAGCAGTGAAGGTGGCTGCACAACTCAAGAAAATGAAAGTTTCAGGTTAGAATTTCCGCATGTTGGTCTGGTCCACAAGCTAAACTCATATTGCTAACATAAATATATATCTATCCTAATAATCCATTTTTTTTAACAGACAACAGTGGAAAGAAAAAGCAAAAGGCCACAAAATCTGTAGCTGAAGCAGAAATTTCCATTTCTAGACTTGATATTCGTGTTGGCCTCATTACGAAAGCTCAGAAGCATCCTGATGCTGATTCACTTTACATACAAGAGATTGATGTTGGTGAAGGACAGACTAGAACAGTTGTGAGTGGACTTGTCAAGTATATACCTATTGAAGAAATGCAGGTTTGTGTTTGCATCTACAGAATTTTCAACAATAAAATTCGAATTAATTTCCGTAGCTTTTAGGAGCACCTACTTGTCCATTAGTTTATTTATATTAACTTTTCTGTGGCAGAACCGGAAGGTCTGTGTTCTTTGCAATCTGAAGCCAGCAACCATGAGGGGTATTAAATCACAAGCAATGGTTCTTGCTGCTTCGAACAGTGACCACGCCGCGGTTGAATTGGTCAATCCGCCTAAAGCAGCTCAGGTTGGTGAGAGAGTTACATTTCCGGGGTTCGCAGGTGAGCCTGATGAGGTGTTGAACCCCAAGAAGAAAGTGTGGGAGAGCTTGCAAGTGGATCTGCATACTAACACTGACCTAGTGGCCTGCTACAGAGATATTCCCCTCACAACATCAGCTGGTGTTTGCACTGTATCCTCAATTTGTGGGGGGTCAATTAGATAGAAGATGGTTAATTCTCTAGAGGTTGAAAAGAAACAGCCAATTTTGGATTTTTTGTTGTAAAATGACAGTAACCAATGAAATTTTTTCTTACGGATGGGAAACCACTTTTGCTCCTTTTGGTATTTGAAATAATTTTGCATATATTGTGGAAACCATTCTGTCTCGCCCGCCTGCCGGAACATGAATTCTCCAGATCGGGCCAGCAGGCCGGCGGACGGGGGCCTTCGAAGAAGTGCCTCCACCCACCGCAGCCACTACTTTGACTCCTTTTATGCAATTATGAACTCCACGGAACTTCTATCACACTAAAAAAAGGGGAAAGAAACAACCTTTGAAGGCTGTTTGCTTTCAGCATCTCTAGGGAAATCAAATTGAAACCCAATCTGCATATATAGTCTGCTCCTTATAAGTATGCACACACAAAATGGGTGGGTTTAAAATGGCAAATGAGGCTGTAAACATAAAAGCCAACAACAGAAATACGAAATAATGCTCTTTGGGTGTTCTGGTCTTCAAAACTTTGTTATTTTGCACTTACCTGAAATTGAGACAGAGGCGCCGGCCACGAGAGAATGATCGGAGCGGTGACGGTGAGTGGCTTCTTCGAATTGGAGTGGCGACGGCGAGAGGCTGTGTGTATCGAGTCGAATTGGAGGCGCGGTGAGAGGAAACGTTGTTAACACTTGCGGATAGCCCCACAAGTGTTGTTAACATTTATGGTTGAAATCAAGTGCGACATGTCCCATTGTAACTCTGTGGAACCTCCACTTACATAGCCCCATTTGTAATATGTAAATAAATTAATATTATTTTAAATTGGCTGGGCCAAATTGGTCCAGTTTTTGTTAACTTAATATCACAAAACGTCTCTAAAATTTAAGAAACTATCAGATTGCATCATTATTATGTGAAGGTTCACTCAAAAACTCCGTTAATTTGCTGACGTGACATATATATTTTAAAATAACTAAAATTTAAAATTTATAAAAGATTTTATATAACAAAACGTCCTGAGGTTCACAAAACTATCATTATTGTTTTTTTTTTTTTTTTTTTTTTTTTTTTTTTTTTTTTTTTTTGGTTGGTCATTTGTCCCCCATGAGCCCCCATCATGGTTTTGTTTTTGGGAACTCACGAGCACTTCCTAGTGGGTCACCCATCCTGGAATTGCTCTAGTGCAGACTCGCTTAACTTCGAAGTTCCCATGACTCCGAAGCCAGTGAGCTCCCAAAATGTCTTGTTCTAGATGGAGGTGGACATGCGCATATAAGACACATCACCCCCTCTCCGTTGGTCGATGTGGGATGTTACAATTCGTGGTCTTCAAGTTTAATATGTGCGCTCACAAATGGATCCTGCTAAAATTTTGGTTTTTTAATTTAAATTCATAAAATTTAAAAATTTTAAATAAAAAAAAAACCAAAATTTTATGCATTTTAAGGTTTAGAGTTTAGTGATATAAAGCCTTCATAAAATTAAAAAATTAAAAAATCTTTGTGCATAAAATTTTGGTTTTTCATTTCTAAATTTAAAAAACTCCCTTAGTTTGCTCATGTGGCATATATGTGGAACCCATATCTCCAATAGTATAGTGCCATATGTATTTAAAATATAATATATTTTTTAAAATTCATAAAATGTTGGTTTTTTCATTTTTAAATTTTATGAATTTTATATTATTTTTTTGGCCCATATACTTCCCTTGATTTTTTTTGGCCCAATTTGCCATAAGTCCGAAAACGTAATCCCATCCCAATGTGGTTCTAGTCCACACAATATTGTTTATTGATCCAAATTCTCTATGTAGGATTACCTTCCATAATGGGATGAGTCATATTTGTCTTTGGCTATTTATTTTTTCTATTATGTCCCTCCGGTTTAAAAGGGGTAAGTTATTTATTTGTAGGACATTAATTTATTATTTTTTATTGAGTTATTTACACTAAAACCTCATAAGATTTCTTGTGTTTTCACAAAACCCCTAAGATCTCAAATATTACATTAACACCCCTGAGGTTTAAGTTTGTTTTCACAAAACCCCTTTTCATTAATTGTTTGTCCAAAACTTGATGATTTCATTGAAAATACTTATGCAAATAACAAAATTAACTTCAATGAAGTATATGCAATTTAACCTCAAAGGCCAACTTTGTCATTTGAAGAATGTTTTTGTATAAAATCATCAATCTTTGAATGAAAAATCTGTGAAAATAATTTAAAACCTCAGGGGGTGTTCTCATTATTGAATGAACTGTTACAAAGGCCTTTATACACAACAACTATACTGAGCTGTCATAACTAATTACAGATGAGAATATATTAGTAAACAGAAAATATAACTAATCTAACAGATTAATAACTAGTTACTGCCTTTAATAACCAAGCTCAATCTCACACCCATGCAAGCGTTCAACACACCCAAGCGCATCCAGATGATATTCCTACAACACCTCAGCATACCATTTCTTCGTGCTTATCTAGTCAAGACAGCTAGCAAGGAACCTCTTGTATATTTTCGATACTGTTCTAGAATACATACAATTGTATAGATATATATATATATATATATATATACTCACATTACACAGTGGACAATTAGGGTTTTAGTCTGCAGCTTTAATGTATACCAAATTCATCAATGAAATATACAACTTTCCTCTCAACCCTCTGAATCTTTCTGAAACTTTCCTTTTTCTCGTGTAGAAGCTCTTTAATATGCTGTATTTTTCTTTAAAATTATGGGTACAACAATTGCCACCAGACCAAATAGTTCTCACAAAGTTTCTGCAAATAGGGAAAAACAATGTCTCTTCACTATAACACCGTTTTTGCAATTCATTTGTTTATTTTGACGTTAGCCATCAAATTTCAAAAAACAATTATAACATGTTATGAAAGAGGGTGGGGTGCCATACAACCTAACTACATCGAGACATTGTCTTCGAGGGGCGAAAGCTACTCTTAAGGACAGTAACTACACACATCAACCTAAATCTATTATTCTACTCAAGCATGAATGGAGATCCAAATAATAACAAAATAATTATGACACCTTTGACTACACGCCATCAGTATTTTTTATTTTGTTTATTTTATGTTATTTTATTTACAATGCAATGTAAATTATAAATCATTAACAATTATTTTATGTGATGTTTTGCGAGAAAACTAGCATCCATCAACCAAATTTTTCCAACAATCTTAAGAGTAGATCGGATGCTACCTAACTTACACTGCAAAGCAGTGGCGGATCCAGGATTCTGTGGCCAAGGGGGCTTAGTGTAAAAGTTCCGAAATTTTTTTACAAAGAAAATAATGCTAAAAAAGCCTATTAATCCGTCATTCGAAATTTTTCCTCTACCTCAGTAGCTATACTATATTCCAACCAATCATACTCATCAAACCATTGAGCAATGAAACGTCTATTAAATCCTGATTGATTAGTTTGTGGGAATTTATAACTTCTAGGTTGACAAGGTCCCTTTTGTAGATATGCTCTTCGGATCTCATCCCGAATATTAGGACTATAATCCGTCATTCGAGGTCTTAGTCCAGGATTTGCCTAAAGATTAGCTAATATCTCATCTACTTCAATTGGTCTTGTTGCATTTGAACTATCCGGATTAGACGAAGAAGGACTATCCGTAGATAATTTTCTTTTATAGAATCATTCCATAATTCTACAAATCAATTAATTGAATCAATCATTAATTTTTATCCAAATTATCATATGAATATGAAAATGTCAATAACCTACTCTCAATATTCACCCATATAAATCAATATTCAATATACCAAATTATCATATCAAATATCATTCAATATTTAATATACTCAATCAACAATCAAGCATAAACGCAATCAATCTAAATTATCCATCAATATGATTCATATCCATAGATTTCATTACATAAAAAAAAATATCAATATCAACAATATATTATCACTATAAATTTATTAATTTAAATTTTGACCTGCTTACTTGTACTTGAAAAAAAAGGGCGGCACAAGATGGTGGTGGTGATCGCCAATGGGCCACCGGCGAAGAGTTGATGGAGGTTGTCAGAGGTTAGGAGGTTGGGAGAGGTTAGGATTTGAGAGGGAAGCATTGGGGGACCCAAAAAATTTTTAGCGGAGGTGCAATATTGACTAAGTATGAAAAATGGTTTTTCGGAATAATCATTTTCTCAAGATAATTTTTGGCGGCTTTTATTCCTTACACATCAAATAAGAAAACTTGATTTTATGGGATTTTATTATGAAGTATATATTGACTTAATGAGCCATCATTTTTAGCATAAATCGTATTTTACACTAAAACCGAATTTTCATATTTTGATTTGGTGAGAATTTGATTTTCTAGTATTTTTATTTGAAACCAAATGGGGGGTACTTCCTTATTTACATTGTAAACTTAAGTAAATGGAGTAATATAAAAATAAATAAAAGTAAAAGGACAAAGACATTTACTTAAATGTTGAAGATGGAAATAAGGTAATCTGTACAATAGTTGAGCTCCTTTGTTTTGTTTGGTTTTTTTGGCCCAAAACGACGTCGTTTTGAGGCCAGGTCATTTAAAAAAAATTGACTGAGCCTTGGACCAAACGACGTCGTTTGGCAAGGCTGTTTTAAAAAAAAAAACACAGGCAGCGCGCGCGCAAGGCGCAGTGCAGCTGCGCAGCAAGCTTCTCCTCCTCCTGGGACTTTCGTCGAGCAGTTGGGGTGCATCCAAGGGGGCTTCCAGCAGCTATCCAAGGGGGCTTCAATGGAGTCCCTTGCCAACTTTCCAGCATTCCAAGGGGTCGTCCGACCCCTCTTGTCCCAACGTGGATCCGCCACTGCTGCAAAGCATAATGATCTGCTTACATTATTAGCAAACAATTCCTTTGAGCATTATGAGAGGAACAAAGGGTTTTTTTTAATATTAAAACACAGGGTGTTACAGATGGATTTACTGTCTTAAACCACAGAAGTGATCTTCTAATCGAATAAGAACTCATGGTTTATCAGAAAGTCTATTCCTATCAGATATGGCTGCCTAATATAAGTGTTCTAGATATATATTAACAGGCTTAAGGATTCCTACGTTGATAAGGATTAAGATTACCTAATCCTATAAGCATTAAGGTTATCTCTAGGAGTTTCTTAATGGGCAAAACTCCTAGAGATATGCATATAAATAGAAGGATCCTTCTAGAGCTGAGAGACACACAAAGTACCAAGCATTCAGATATTCACCCCATTAAGAATTACTGCTGAAAGAGTTCTCGGCTTCTAGGAGAAAGTCTCTATTTCTCAAGTTCGTTTTGATCTTCTTCTTATTCAACATGTCTGAAACAGGTCAGTTAGTGTTTTACATGTTATATCTATTTGGACTTGCAACACTTTATAATACTAGAGCAGAATAGAATTCTATCTATTGGATAGAACAGTACTCCTTCTGTTGACGGTACACGCCGAGCTCGTCCACCTAATAAAAACATGACACGCGGGCCTCGTACACCACAAGTTCGTCACACCTCGTAAAGTGTTCATATGTCCCCTCAAAAGCCAAGTGTAAACCGCCTAGATCACCACCTGATCAAATGGTACTGCTACCGTGCGCAGCAGGATACTCTGCCCACACCCGCTCCTTAGTAGAAATGTGAAGGTCATCATGAGCAGAGGATGTGGACAAACCCCGACCGCCCGTCATCTGACATTTGATGTGACATAGACAGCTCGGCTCCGAGGCGAGGTGAAAGGCTTGTAAATTATCTCATTTAATTCTCCCTATAAATAGAACAGATTTTTTTTTGTGAAGAGGGACATTTTTTCTCCCTTCCCTACTAAGAAGAATGCTAAGAAAAGCTTATCCCTTTTTCTGGTCCTTATCTCATTTCTCATCAAGCTTCTCCTCTCCTGGAATCACGTTAAAATAATTGTATTTTCATACGTTAGCCATTGGAATATATGTGAACTAAACACCTTCCAAACTTGGTGTAATGTATGGACCCTTAAATCCTTTTGGGGAAGCTTTAGACTCAAATGTGATTCATAAAGCATCCAAGTTTTATATTGGTATGAGTACCTTAATGGAAATATTTCTAATAGACATGGAGGATGAATTTGAGGTCAAAAAGTGGTGTAACAACATCTTGGCTATGTCCCTTAATGGAAGAAAACCAACTTTGAAATGTTGTGAGAATATCTTGTCAGATATCCCTTTATGGAAGAGGTCAGCTTTGCCTGTGCCCATGCATTGTGATATTCAGGCTGCACAGTCATGTTCTCCTGGCTGTGGATAATTCTGCCTCTCTCTATCGGATAATGGTGGTGGTTGTTTGGTTTCTTAGCTTTATCTTAAATGTTTTTTTTAATTTATTTTTAATAACCGGAATAGTGTTCTGATATTGGAGAAGTAAAAAATGATGATATTTAAATCAGTTTTTTTTTTAGGACCACAATTTCCTTGGGTCATAGGATGCAAGAGAACAGGATTGCCAAGCTGCAATAGCCCGAGCTCATAATAGAACTTATAATGGGAAAAACAGCATGCTTGAGACTGGGGTGATATCCCTAGACTTTTTTTTTATGTCAGAGATGAACTTGATTGATCCTCTGACAAAATCACTATGTCAAAATCTAGTGAGTGATACATCGAAGGGGATGGGGACTTTTGCATGTATCAGTGCTCATATGGGTAAGAACAAGTTACTGGTTGATCGGCCTGCACTATCAAATTTATATGACTAAGAATTTCTCCCTATGGTGTAGATAGTGAGGTTGAACTTATAGATGGGGTGCTTGATTACAGTGCATTCTTGATGGATTCACCTATAAGAGTGGAAATGCGGCCGTTCCTCTGAGAGCTTAGGCAGGCTCTCTAGAGCACTCATGAATGTCCAGGTGGGTGCATGGCCCATTCGCACCAACCTGCTTGAACAAACTTGAATCCGAGAATTTAATGTGGGTTGTGAGTCCTCTCGGATTCACAATAAGAAATCTTGGTTCATAGAAAATATCATTTTGACCAAACTTTTGTGGCTCATCACTATCATATCCTAAGGCTAGTTCAGAATCCAAAATACACCATTTCTAATGCATTGAATTTTCACTTTGCCTACTGACCAAAAACAAAATCACTTTGCCCAATTTTTTTTTTTAAATATGTGAGGGATTGTTGGATTTTTGTGAGTATTTCAAAATACAGTTAATTTATTATTTGTTTATCGAAAACTGAAATTTTGATTTTAATATCATTGTTTTGGACGTTGGTGTGCAATGCAATTGTTATCATTTGAAATGGTTGCTGTTCATTTTCTTTTTGGTACCATTTAATTGGTCTTTAATTTCGTTTTATTTTTTTTTTTTTTCCGAGTTATTTGACTTCAGCCGAAAAGCATGCAGACCCATTTTGTAGGTTACTTTGATTTGCTGAAGGTTTGATTACCAATTTATCGCTAATTTTCAAAAAAAAAGGTTTGATTATCAATTCAAGGTGTCGCAGGGGTTCGAATTTGAGACCACTATTATGCAAATCAAAGCCCTATTCCAATGAAAAAGACTCCGTTGGCTGTTGTCTAGTTATTTTGTTAAGCAACGATATTGTCAGCTATATTACTATGATTATAAATACTCAGAATCTCTTGTAAGTGTTAACCACACTCCTAAATTCACTGAACACACCCTGTATTCAATCTACTCAACACCCAGACAAAAGATTCAAATGCTGAGCACAAGACTCCCCCTGATAAGCATCACGATTGTAGTCGTACAATGGTCCTCACGATTGTAGGGTTTTACCCAGTATAGAAACATTGTATTCATTCGTTTGTAAAGTAAGGCAGAAGCCAGCCGAATATATAATTTTCGAAATCAATTATTTCCTCTGACAACTTCTCTTTCTCTCTTACATCTCTGCAATTTTCCATCAAGAAATCTTCACAGTAAGTACTCACTTTCTATCTATCAGTAAATCCTCTATGTTCTTATGACTCTACATAATTATGATCAAATAAATAGGTAAGCAAATACACTTTCTAATAAACACTAAAATTTTAGTTTTTAGTTTTCATTTCTCGTGCTAGAGTACAAAGGAAAAAGAGGGAGAATGGAAGTGAGAATAAAAAGAGTGAATAGGATTGAGATAGAAAATGAGAAGGGAGGATGGGAGGATGGGCTTCGTGCCTAAGAATTCCCCAAATTCAACAATATTAGGCTTCATGCCTAAGAATTCCCCATATTCAACAAGCTAAGGCTTCGTGCCAACAAAAATCAACAAATCAAGGCTTTTTGCCAACAAATCAGACTATATCCAAGAACGGTGTGCTCAAGAAAAACATAGAGCGGCTTCGTGCCACACAAATTCCAAAATCATAGCAGTTTCAATAGCAAACCATGACGAAGAGGGAAAATCCAGACCAAATCTGGCGAACGAACACATTTTAACAAAGCAAGACTAAGCCATTACGTACAATTGCCAGCAATATCACCTCAAGAATCACAGCAAATCACGCATAAGCAAAATCAGAATCACCGCAATTAACAGATCTTAGTGAAAAGATGAACGGTGCAGAAGCGAAAAAGTATTGAAACTGAGCTCTGGTACCATGTTAACAAAGAGGTAGAAGCAAAAGACAGAATATTTTGAGAATATTCTAGATTTCTTTCTGATTTTTTACTGAATGAATTACATCTGCTCTGTTGAGCCTTTATATACTATGATTACAGTTTGCTTACTAAGACACTAATTACAACTGAAACAGATGCTTACATGAACTCATCTAATGCCAGCTCATCATGACACCTCAGCTATTACTTCCGTACCAAGCAAACCGGTAAAATATCTCTTTGATGCACCTATACTTCGCATATTACCTATTGACCTAATACCTAGCTAATAGATAAAGTTGAAAATGATGTGTATCATGTACCTCCTTTGCAGGTAAGGGACATATTCAACTCAATAGGTATAAATTAAAAGTTTTTCTATTTAAACCTCGCACTTCTCTTTGTTCACTTCATATTCTAAGTTTACCCTAATTTCTAATTCAAATTTTCACTTCTAAGACAAGCCCACTATCTTCCCAAACTACCTCTAAATACACACACCCAATAGAAAAAAAAATAAAAAAAACAAAAAAAACTCATCAACCTCACATCCCACACCCCATTATTAGAAAACTTACACAAGAAAGGAAAGTTTCAGAAAAGAATTAGAGGGTTTGAGATGAAAGTTGTATATTTCATTGATGCATTTGGTATTCAATAAAGCTGCAGACTAAAACCCTAATTGTCCACTGTGTAATGCGAGTATATATAGAGGTAGTTTAGGGCAAGATGGCGGGGTGTGGGATGTGTATTTAATTTAGGGGTAGTTTAGGAAGAGAGTGGGGTTTTCTTAGAAATTGTGAAATTTTGAATTAGAAGTTGAGGTGAACTTCAAATACGGGGTGAACAAAGAGAAGTGCGAAGTTTAAATAGAAAAACTCTAAATTAATATCCAAGTACTGAAATCCCCATAATTTATCCTAGGTCCAAGTACGTATATGTATACAATATATATATATATATGTAAGGGATACGGACACTTAAACACCATAAAAGATGCTATCAAACCACACTACGTCAAATTCATTACCTCCACCAATAGACGACGAGATAAAAGAAAAAGAAAAGAAAATTGAAACATCCAACGTCAGTATATAGAAACAATATATATGATGCGTAGGCCATAATTATTGAGTTGATTAAGCATGAAATTTTTACATTAAATATTTGACTAGAAAGATATTGTAGCATCCCAGAATCGAAGGATGCGTTTTTATAATTGCCTTCTGAACTAATGGCATATGTAATAACCAGGCTCAATCTCACACCCATGCAAGTGTTCAACACATCCAAGCGCATCCAGATGATATTCCTACAACACCTCAGCATACCATTTCTTCGTGCTTATCTAGTCAAGACAGCTAGCAAGGAACCTCTTGTATATTTTCGATACTGTTCTAGAATACATACAATTGTATAGATACATATATATATATATACTCGCATTACACAGTGGACAATTAGGGTTTTAGTCTGCAGCTTTATTGTATACCAAATTCATCAATGAAATATACAACTTTCCTCTCAACCCTCTGAATCTTTCTGAAACTTTCCTTTTTCTCGTGTAGAAGCTCTTTAATATGCTGTATTTTTCTTTAAAATTATGGGTACAACAATTGCCACCAGACCAAATAGTTCTCACAAAGTTTCTGCAAATAGGGAAAAAACAATGTCTCTTCACTATAACACCGTTTTTGCAATTCATTTGTTTATTTTGACGTTAGCCATCAAATTTCCAAAAACAATTATAATGTGTTATGAAGGAGGGTGGGGTGCCATACAACCTCACTACATCGAGACATTGTCTTCGAGGGGCGAAAGCTACTCTTAAGGACAGTAGCTACACACATCAACCTAAATCTATTATTCTACTCAAGCATGAATGGAGATCCAAATAATAACAAAATAATTATGACATAGAGACCTTTGACTACACGCCATAAGTATTTTGTTATTATTTTGTTTATTTTATTTACAATGCAATGTAAATTATAAATTATTAACAATTATTTTATGTTATGTTTTGCAAGAAAACTAGCATCCATCAACCAAATTTTTCCAACAATCTTAAGAGTAGATCGGATGCTACCTAACTTACACTGCAAAGCATAATGATCTGCTTACATCATTAGCAAACAATTCCTTTGAGCATCATGAGAGGAACAAAGGGTGATACACTTTTTTTTAAAACAAAGGGTGATACACTTTATAATACTAGAGTAGAATAGAATTCTATCCATTGGATAGAGCAGTACTCCTTCCAAACTTGGTGTAAAGGTATGGACCCTTAAATCCTTTTGGGGAAGCTTTTGACTCAAATGTGATTCATAAAGCATCCAAGTTTTATATTGGTATATGAGTACCTTAATGGAAATATTTCTAATAGAGATATGCAGGGCGAATTTGAGGTCAAGTGGTGTAACATCTTGGCTATGTCCCTTAATGGAAGAAAACCAACTTTGAAATGTGTGCATTGTGAGAATATCTTGTCAGATATCCCCTTTATGGAAGAGGTCAGCTTTGTCTGTGTCTAAATGACTATGTCCAAAGCTATGTCCAAAATGACTATGTCAGAGATGAACTTTTGATTGATCCTCTGACAGAATGACTATGTCCAAAGCTAGGGAGCGATACATCGAAGGCGATGGGGGCATATCTACGGTAAGTATGATTATCCTATATAGTGCTACATGGTGCTATCACCAAACAAAAACTCTTTTACAAAAATGAGTAAAAACCAATTAAACATATAATACATCAACAATACTAAATGCACACTTTTTTTTCTCCCTAAATTTTTTGTGAGAGATCGGCAAAAGTTAAGGCTTTGGAATTATATTGAATTTGTTGCTAGCATATATTTCCTATATAAAGGTAGGTCATTTACTATAATTGAAGTGTTCCATTTCTCAGGGGCAGATCCAAATGACACATAGTGATATATGTCTCCCGAGAATGGCGCAGTCACCACTCTTTTTTTGGTTGAGGGGCAATATGGTCTAGATCAGTAAAAAAAGTGCCTCGATTAACAGTCTCATGACATCTTGGTAGGTAGTAGATGTATAATAAAACCCCCTTCTCCCTTCCTAAGTTAACTTTGGCCGAAAAGAAAACATTTAGAATTCGAATATTAGCTCCTAAAACAAAACCTTAACTGTCTTAAATAATTTCCAAGCGTTCAAACATGCACGCACACAAAAATCCAGAGGGAGCTTTAAGAGATCCATTGGAGGACTCAACGAGTAATGTAGTACAATATTCACATCCTCTATTTTTTTAGGCCTTCATTTAATGACGATCTTTGCAAATATTAGTCAAATCGAAGATCATTATAATAATACAACCTCTAGTGTTAGCTACTAAGTCACGTGCTACTCACATGTTGATTAGTTATATTTGAATACAAGCGATAATCTCAACTATAAGATAGGGTCTATCACACACACTAAGGAGGGTGTATTCAATTTAGATTTAAAGCATGCAGACCCATTTTGTAGGTTACTTTGATTTGCTGAAGGTTTGATTACCAATTTATCGCTAATTTTAAAAAAAAAGGTTTGATTATCAATTCAAGGTGTCACAGGGGTTCGAATTTGAGACCAATATTATGCAAATCAAAGCCCTATTCCAATGAAAAAGACCCCGTTGGCTGTTGTCTAGTTATTTTGTTAAGCAACGATATTGTCAGCTATATTACTATGATTATAAATACTCAGAATCTCTTGTAAGTGTTAACCACACTCCTAAATTCACTGAACACACCCTGTATTCAATCTACTCAACACCCAGACAAAAGATTCAAATGCTGAGCACAACACTCCCCCTGATAAGCATCACGATTGTAGTCGTACAATGGTCCTCACGATTGTAGGGTTTTACCCAGTATAGAAACATTGTATTCATTCGTTTGTAAAGTAAGGCAGAAGCCAGCCGAATATATAATTTTCGAAATCAATTATTTCCTCTGACAACTTCTCTTTCTCTCTTACATCTCTGCAATTTTCCATCGAGAAATCTTCACAGTAAGTACTCACTTTCTATCTATCAGTAAATCCTCTATGTTGCTAATAATTCTTATGACTCTACAACTTTATAACTCTTTTAAAATCAGTTTTGTGACTTTGAGTTTGAGCTAGCCTCCAGTTTTGCTCATAACGTGCAAGTGTTTATAACCCAACGTCCACTTGGAAGCTACATCCCCTATATAAACCATTCGAGCTAAGTTTGAGCAATTGACCAACGTCCGCATGATCCTCCGTACAAAAAACTCATGTGTACCGAAAAAACTGAGTTGGTTATGAAGAGAATTGCACCCAAAAGGAAAGTTTCAGAATGCAGAGAGAAAAGATATTTGTATTCAATCGTATAACGGTATACATGAAAACCCTGCAGCTAAAACCCTAGGTTTTATCCATTGTGTAAAAGGAGTATATATAGGATCGTACAGTTGTGGATGGGTATTTAATAATATATATATGCTGGGGTGTATTCCAAGTCTGTGCTGAGTGATTTTCTGCGTGTGAATAAAGATCTTTAAACTGTTTGCGTGTGCCTCTAATAATGCGATTGACCTTGAATTCCATTGCAGCCTTTCATGATAAAGTTCTTTGACATTTGGAAATTATTGGCACGATTGCGATGGCAAGTGATGGAGCATCTTGGTACGTAGTAGGTGTGTAAGAAAACCTCTTCTTCCTTTCTAAGTTAACTTTAGCCAAAAAGAAAACATTTAGAATTCGAATATTAGCTCCTTAGAAACAAAACCTTCATCGTCTTAAATAATTTCCAAGAGTTCAAACATGCATTCACACAAAAATCCAGAGGGAGCTTTAATAGATCCATTGGAGGACTCACTACGTAATGTAGTACAATATTCACATCCCCTATTTTTTCATGTCTTCATTTAACGATGATCTTTGCAAATATTACTCAAATCAAAGATCATTATAATAATACAACCTCTAGTGCTAGCTACTAAGTCACGTGCTACTCACATGTTGATTAGTTATATTTGAATACAAGTAATAGTCTCAACTACAAGAAGGGGGTCTCTCATACACAGTAATGGCATGTTTACTAATCCGTAATCGGATTATGAGGAATTGAATTCAAGAGGAGTTAGATTGAGGAGAATTAGATTTTGGATTCCTATGAAGTTGTTTACTTAACCATATGGATTGAGAAGGATTAGATTCCGGATTCCTATTGAAGTTGTTAACTTTTTATTTTAATTTTTTTATTTTTATCAATAGTAACTTTCATTAACCTTCAACAACAGGCACAAACAGCCAGTACATCAATACGTAACGGGAGGGCATAAGAGATGGCCTCGTTAAAACCTTGTCATTAAAAACCCCCAAGGGGGAAAATCCGGTTAAGGGAAAAGAGTGTCACAGCACCTCCGACATGAACTAAAAACATTAAAAAAACCTAGCCCAACTCCATATCTCTGGCTAGACTCAACTCCAGCCAAGGCGGAGCAACATCTTCCCAAACAAAAATAGTCCCTTCTGTTAATCCAAACTGTGCCAACGCATGCGCCACTCCATTGCCGCACCAGGGTTGAAAGAGCACCCTTGAAACCGCCAAGTCCACTATGAGTCGGCGAATATCCTCCACCACGTTCCCAATATTGCTCCACCAAGTGTTCCCTTCCTTAAGCATGCTCACAGGAGTCAAATGCAATAACAAAATGACAAATTCATTTGGCCAGCATTAGAAGGAGTCCTTCCTTTATGGCCGCTAGCTCAGTTCCAACCACATCCAAACCTGTTGGTCATGTAACAGCAAAACCATCAAGAAAAAAACCATTGTAATCCCGTAGGCAGCCCTCCAACCCCCTGTGTTGGCCTTCCTTTCCTACGGCGCCATCACAGTTTAGCACAAGGGAGTGATAAGGTGGGAGAATCCACTGAACTAGGCGGGAGAAACAATAGGTTTTGATCTCTCCATACAAATTTTGTACTGTGCTAGCCCCTCCATAGTACGCTCCACCAAGACCACAGTCTCAGCTATAATTCTTCCCTGAAAAAAATCATTACGCATCTGCCAGATTTTCCACGCATAGCAAGCGAAACAATCCAAGTCATCATGTGAGAGCTCCTTTGCAGCCAACTAAAAGAGATCAGCAGAAGACCCTCCATGGGCCTGAATACGTGCCACAAAACTTGTACAACACCAAAAAAAGTTTATTCTTCTTACAGCTCCACAACGCATGCCCCGAATCTTCACTACCTACCCCACGCATTGTGCATGCTGGTTTATTCTTCTTTCTATTGAAATTGTTTACTAAATCATATGGAATTGAGGTAAGAGTGGTGCTAATTACTAAAATGTAGATGACAAATTTGGATTATATAGTTAAGCCTTTGGTATTATTATTATTGTTTTTTTCATTTTAATTTGACACCCAATTAACACGTTTTTCATTAATTTGAAGCAGTAATGGCTCATATCAAAAAGTCCTTTTCCTTTTTCCTTTTTCCTTGTATAGCCGATTATCCTTCTCCATATCACATATGTGAAGTGTTGCCTAAAGAAAAAGTCCTCTAGTGGATAGGAAAAAGATGGTCTAAATAATCTATATACAAAAAATTCCGATAAGAACTAATAAATTTGAACGGCTTATACATAATTATCAACATCTCAATAGCAAATTCTCCAAGCATAATATGCAAATCTTTTATATCACATTAGAAATATGTCAAAATACAAGCAGAATATGCAAATCTTTTACATCACATTAGAAATATATAAAAATACATCATATGAAAACCTATCGATCAATACAACATCATGCTGTCAACAAAAGGGTCATACTCTCAACAAGAGTCATAATCTCTATTACATAGTCATAATCTACCCAAAAGTTTCATAATCTTAACAGAAGTATCATAGTATCTTCAAAAGATTCATGAGCTCAAGAAAATGGTCATGATTTGTTCCCAAAAGTAAGCTGCCAGCAAAAGATCTATTTGCAAAAAACTATCTCCACTCCCCCTTCCCCCCCAAAAAAAATAAAAATTAAATAAGCAATGTCTTCGTCACCTATATGTCAAATTTCGCCCAAGTTTGCAACAAAGTAGTTACATATTCTCTTTTTGATTCATAATGCATGGTTAAAAAAACTCTTAGCAAATCCTTTTTTTATGATAAAAAAGTTTATCACTTTAAACAATTGCAAGTAAGTCAAAAATTCCATTTTGCTCAACTCACCATGAAGTTTCTCTTGCAATTCCATCAAATCTAGACCATCAAGCTTATTAGGTCCCACTTCGGCTACAACTTGTGCTATAAAAGAAAATTGCTTAGTCATCTCATCCATAACCTTTGGCCTCTTATTGCGATTATTGTTAGCAACACTTGATGTACTATATAGTAGGTCTTTGTTTTTGGGTATTTGGTTGTGTAAAGGAAGCATAAAAATCATTAAGCCCCTCAAATGGTGACCCCAAATCAATATTCATGTTCACATTTTCAACAAAATCATAATCCTCACCTTCATTGTGATTCATAGTTGCATCTTCATGCATAACTTCTTCTTCTTCATCATTCGCATTACTAGCATTTGCACCTATACAACACAATCTTTTCCATATATCTCTCTCAAGAGATAGTAGTATGGAAATGGCTTATGATACAAACCACTTGCCTCTTTTTAGACTACACATACAATAAAAACAGATAAGTAAACATTCCAATGGCATGTAATACAATTGTACATGATAACAAATTTCAACAAATAATAAGTTTTTTAGTTGCTTGCTGCAGCTATAGTGCAATTAGGCTCATCATTTATAGGTAAGGCACAAAAAGTATCATACAAAATATAAGCGTCATATATTGGTTTTTTGAAGAGGGAATAAGAAGTAATTAAAAAGTGTACCTTCACCCATTCGTCATATACACTTTTCTCACACACCAACATCATTTTCTCTTCATTCCATCCAAATCTGCTTAGAGATAACATCTCAGTTAGGGCAAAATATTTTAACTTCAATGTATTGACTCATGATTCAATATGAGGAGACGCCTTTAATCCACGACTGGGAATTTTGGCTTCCAACATACATTTTAACTTGTCCAAGTAACCATTCTTGAAACCAGTGTCAACTCGCCACGTCGTGTCATGATATAATTCCTTCAATGACTCATTAATGCTGCATCCTCACTGGCTGTCCAAAAATATTTTTGTTCGGCCCTTCCTCTTTTCAAATTGGACCTACACTCCATGTTGCATTAGCAATAAACATAAGTATGAAACCCAGCCAACATTATACATATTCCCTTTTTTTTATAAAGTTGTCAATCAAACCAGACATTCCCTACTAATATGTTAAACTAATGAAATGTAAATCACAATACAAAGATTAAAAAAGAGAAACAGTGCTTTAATTAAAAGAAGCATTCCAAACTTTATTACAAAAACATTTAGACATACAAATAATGTCTATGTCTTTATCTTTATCACATTACACACATATTAAAAATAAAGAAAACATAACTAGTGACATTAACTTATTAAGATTCCTTAACTTCCCTAGCTGCTTTAAAAGTGTTAAACATTTCTAATGCGAGGTTTTGCCTCCATATAGTCCACTCATCTGAGGACTCAACAAAAATAATGCAGTCATTCGCTTCTAAATTCTCATCTTGCAATTGAGTGTTCATATTATCTTTCATAGAATCTACAAGCATCTCTCTTCTTATAAAATTATGGAGCATACAACACGCTGAAATTATACGACATTGTGTTGTAATGTCATAAAATGATGGACTCCTAAGAATTGCGTACCACACTTTTAATAGTCCAAAACACCTTTCAATGAAATTCCTAGTGCTTCAATGTTTTATATTAAAAAGCTCCACACACCCAAATCTAAACTAAGCATGATGGTTGATGAAGACATGCAAGTTTAAATTATGTGTTGTCCTCAAGCAAAACGTTTTCATCACTAGCGCCTTGCCGAGGTGGGGGACGTTATTGATGTAAGGCAAGGCACTGGTGATGAGGACGTTTCACTTGCCAGGGATGGGTAACATGGGGGACCTTCTGGTCCTCCTTGGAGATCACTATAAGGCCTCCCATGTCCGACTCTCTCATACAGTGGCTGAGCTAGAAGAAACAGGAGCTTAAAAACCTACAACTTAGAACAATAATAAAAGTTCATTTCTTTCTAATATTTTGTTATCTGTTTTGTTAGTATTGAAAATCAAACAAAGCATATTATATTCATTATATACTCCCCCCAGTGACCAAACATGTACCCTATATTTTACGTAATAATCAAACGGGAAACCACATTGTTGACCAAAAACAAAAAGGAAAACCACATTAACCGACAAAAAAAAGGGAAACCACGGGCTTTGAAGACTACTTATATAAAAAACACTTATCTTCGTAGTCACTTGTTGTAAAAGGACATTGAATTTTTTTTTTAAATATTAGTAATTCAATTTAAATTTAAGAAAGAAATGCCTCTAATTGTGTCCCATGAAAATAGAGCATGTTCTCATTTGTTTTTTTATTTTGATTTTTTTAAAACAAAAATAAGTGTAGTTAATTTACTATATTAACCTTGATCGCTTTCAATGAACTCACTCTTCTTTAAGTTCCTACAAACTTGTCTCAGTGTCTTTCACATGAATGACTTGAGACCAGTCATCCTCTTACTTGAGCAGATGTAGTATGTATCACTCTTTATGGATTATCAATGCATATTTTATAATTATATTACTAGGAACTATTTAGGATATTAGGGTTAAAGAGAAAAAGTCTCATGAATCTAACTTTTTAAGATTATTTTCTCTCTATCTCATATCTTGGACTTATTGTTTAAGCATGTATAACTATTAATGAGACAATTAATTTTAAACAATAAACTTGCTCTTTGATTGAATTAAGCATAATTCTAATACATAAAATATCCTTAAAAAAGATCACATCATATAATTGGCTTTTATGACATACTTCTAACATGGTGCTTTGTGACACATGGTGCTTAGTTATGCTTTGTGCTAGGAGATGCTTAGTGTTTGGCTATACTATGTGATCAACGGTAGTTCCATGACTCGATTCGAGAATAAGGAATATTCCCGAATTAGAGTGTGAGTCATACTACAGTCATAAGAACAAAATCCTACAACCATGATATAATGAGAAATAGAGCCACAAATAATACAAATTACATAATATCACATAATTAGAGTCGTAGTAGCTCATAATTAAATACACACTAAGATCCTTATCAAATAGTTGACTACTTATAAATATTAATTATACAATTCAACAACAAAGGCCTAGTAGCTTAGTTGAAACCTGCTTCCTTAAACTTCACATTGAATCCTACACAATATATTATGGTATGAGCATTCTAATGCCCAGTAGAGTACCGCCAAACCCCTCAAGATCAACTATCACAGTTAATCAAAGTATCATGCATAAAACAACACAAGATACATAAATTATACAACTAGAAGAGATAAATAAATTTGCATATGTGATGATGCCATGGACTCACTCCCTTATAATCCCACTAATTCATACCTTAGGGCAATAAGCTTGCATGTCTCATACCATGTGTTTTACCATTGTGGCTCTGAATACCCTAAAATGTGAACTAGCGCATATCCATCTCTTAACCCCGTTTTTTATTTACGAATTTCTCAACTTTTCCTTTTCATTAGAGGCCTTACTCACATCACCTCAATATATTTAAGCCCTGCTCTCATCACCTCATTATATTCCACATTTTTACTCATATATATATAAGGCCTTCTCTCACCCCTTAGATATACCTCGACCCAAACACAAATCCAAACACAACCGGATTTATGATGCATATGTAATGCATCTCATCATTTATCTATGCGGAATAATAATACAAATGCTAACAATTATATTTCAAGTTTAATCACATGAATTATAATATTCACCAAACATAAAATAATATTTCATCGAACATCAAATAATATTCACTGAACAAAACAACAATAATATTCATATTTTTAGTATTATATATAAGCACCAAGATTAAAAATGACATGGCCCAATCATCAAGAAATCAGGAAATTCTACCTCGTGTCTAACTAGTTAGATTAATTACCCTTTCAATTTTAAACATACTTGTGTACTAATGATCATTGGATTTTTCCTCGAAAATCTTTGGAGACCCTCAAAACCTGTATTATTACAACTCCAAAATTAAAGCCTATTTCCAGTTCCTTTGCACAACTTCATAAGTTCTACCCAAAGAACATAATACCTGGGCTCTGATACCATCATGACTCACACCCTGATTCGAGAATATTCCTTATTCTCGAATTGGGGCATGAAAGATAGGCTTGTAAAAATGTCACAAGCCTGATCTTGTTTTTGGGCTATGGGTTGGCCAAACTTTGTATGATGGCAGGTTATGTCCGGCCCGTTCTATGATTGATAGGGCATGAGCCTTAACTTTTATGCTTATTGAACTACTTATAAGCTTACAAATTCTTCGCCCTTAGGTAGGGCCTGGACTTAGCCTATTTAAGATAAGTCGGGCCTAGTCGGGCCTAGTCGGGCCTATTTTACCATTAAGGCCCAAAACACCCATGATTGGGTAAGGCATGTGCTAACCCTTTTGCCACCAAGGTCAACTCATTTTACAAGCTGATTCGGCGATGTACGGTACTCGGCAATGATACATCCTTGGTAAGGCTTTGTGCTATGCTATGCTCTGTGCTTTAAGATGCTTCGACCTCGTATATGGTCAATGCTTAAAGATGCTTTGAGGGATATGATTTGGAGGGTTAAGCGAGCTCAACCATCTTAATAGTTAATAAGTAGTAACTTTATATTTCAACATGAATGTTCGTATCTTTTGCATCATTTCAAAAATCCCATATACATTTACTCGTAGAAAACTTTCTTGTAAAAACCATCAAAATTAGATCACCTATAGTACGTATTGCACAAAGGCAAAAACTTTGAGCTTTCATGAATAAGGTGTTCTAGAATCATGCATCCATAATTTTATTAAACAGTTATAAACATTCAAATTTAAATTATGCATAATTAGTGGTCATAACTAGATTGTGGCTAAAGCATTACTAAATAGACAACCAACCTGCTTTATACTTTAAGTACTCAATAACACTGATAGTTTTCATCAAAGTCCAATTTTCACTAGGTCCAACATGTGTTAATGAAAACATCACCTGAAAGATAAAATAGGCATGGTTGAATCAATTATTTTTATAAGTATGAAATTCTTATACAAGTGGAATTATTCACAAAAATGAAAACATGACTATGACAAAAAGCATGCTCTCACATCACCTATGCTTCTTTGATTATTGTGGAACTTGGGATGATAGATTTGAATAGGAATATTAATGAATTAGAACATTAACCTCTCCAAAAAAAAATTATGATTTCAGACTTCCATCACGATCATATAGAGTACGATTTCCAATAAGATGGTAATGGGCAATAAATAATGGCAATTCCTTTAACAATCGCTTAAAACCTAAAACCATACAACAATGCTAAAGATATTTAATTAGTAAATGCAATTACCAAACTATACTTGGCGAGGTGTATTTCGAATAGGACATATACTGTATACTTGCCCATAAACTTATACGGTCCACATTCTCAGAATTCTTCCACCACTTCTCCCAATCATCAATGTAGCATTTACTAATAGCGATATATCCACTCGGAGCATCAAACCACACATAGAAGACCTACCAGTAGCAGAGTCAGAACAAATGTAAATTTGTTTTTTAAAATCATTATCAAAATGTAGTAGAATTAACATAACTTAAATGTATAGTATTAACCTTATCCTCGAAGTAATCATGTCGAACTTGAATCCCCAAATTGATGTTATATTGATATACTCTTCCAATTTATCCTTAATCAAAGCGAGTTCTTTTATGATTTTTATTGCAAATTCGTTGGGTCGTTTTACACATCTTCTTATTCTTGAAGTTATTATGTGGAACTGGAACTCCTCCCCTCATATCCCTCGTAATATATCATTGATTAAGCCCCTCATTAAGAAATGCATTTGTTGTTTGAATGGCATTTTGCCTCCAAGACCCAACCACTGATGTTTTATTAATGTACTCTTCCAATTTATCATTGAGTAAAGGGAGTTCCTAAAACAAGTGGTTTATCACGAATCTGTGGAGTTGTCTTACAAACGTGCTTGTAATGGGAAAAAAATGAGAAATATAATGGTGTAACAACATCATGTTTCTATCTATTTAATGTCATATTTGGGGAAAAAAAAGTTACTCTCACAAACTCTTACTTATTAACTTATTTTGTAGAAAATGAGGAAAAAGTTACGAGGGTTTCAAAAAATGACTTGAGTATTTTAATCGAATGAGGAATTTATATGCGAGAACATGACTTGAGTATTTTAATCGAATGAGGAATGAGTTGAGTATTTTAATCGAATGAAGAATTTATATGCAAGAACATGACTTGAGTATTTTAATCGAATGAAGAATTTATATGCGAGAACATGACTTGAGTATTTTAATCGAATGAAGAATTTATATGCGAGAACATGACTTGAGTATTTTAATCGAATGAGGAATTTATATGCGAGAACATGACTTGAGTATTTTAATCGAATGAGGAATTTATATGCGAGAACATAACTTGAGTATTTTAATCGAATGATGAATTTATATGCGAGAACATGACTTGAGTATTTTAATTGAATGAGGAATTCATGACTCACTCTCATGTTGACTTTATGTACTGAAGTTTCTTGTTTTTCTTTCAATTACACTACATATGTACGTAACATACATAAACACATGGAAATTTATTTTATACTAATAATGGATATGAAAAATGCATTTAGGATCTTTTAGTTTTGTTGCATTCAAAAGCTCTCCGCATTTTTCACATTGTTCTCCTCCTGCAAAAGCATAGACAAAGCCTCAAGTCGAGCATGTCCCTTGCACAAGCATGTCGGGTAAAAACCATTTGCATGTGGTACAATAAAATTGAATTATCGTACTGAAAAGTTACATTCACGAAGGATATAAGAAGATATGTACCTTGCATTTAGGATCTTTTAGTTATGTTGGATTCAAAAGCTTTCCACAATTTTCATATTGATCTCTTCGTGCAGAAGCATAGTCACACCCTTCAGTTAGGGAAGTCCACTCCACAAGTGTGTCGGCTAAAAACCGTTTGCATGAGTCAAAGTAAAGCTAAATTATAATACAAATTCAAATTAAAATAAATTATAGAAATACACTTTAAAGACATAACGCAATCACAATGTATGAACATAAACATGCCGTCAAAGAAGCACTAACTAAACCAATAAAATAGAAGAAAAAAGCATGGACACAATTACAAGCCAGTGAATGCTATTTGCTGCATTGTGTTCTCAGAAAGTCATTCATTCTCCAACAACTTCTTGAAAATCGCTTGGTATACTTCTATTTGTTGTGGTGCAAATGTGCACCCAAATTTGTCAAAGCATATATTAAACCACTTATAAACCTCCCTATGAATTGCATGATATCTACAAGAATATAGGCCTTGTTAATGGGCCGGGCCTAGCCGGGTTTTTTTTTAATATGTATCTTTTTGTCAATTCTTTTTTTTCTTTTTTTCTATATTTTGGTGTGTTTCTATGTTTCCTCTTTTTTCATAGTTCTCTATTTACATTTGTCTATATGTTTATGTCTCCATTTTTTCTTTGTTCATAAGTTCATAGTTTTTTTTCCCCATAAATATAAAGATATAGTTATACAACCCCATATTAATAAAATCATATTTTATCTCATACTTCATTTTTTTAGTTCTTACAATGACAATAGATAATGATTTTCTCCACATTTCATTTAACTTGGGTTTTTATATATATTTATTTATATGTATGTGAGCCCGTGTGCCGGGCTTTTATGGGCTGGCCGGTCTTTCTTGGGCTCAAATTGGCTGAACTTTTGGGCTAGGAAGGGCTTTAGACACCCAAGCCCAAGCCTGGCCCACTTAACAATGAGCTGAGCCAGGCTTTTTCTCGATGGGCCGGACGAGCCCTCATCAACCCATGGGCTCGCGGGCCTAATGATGACCCCTACAAGAATATAATCATTTGAAATAAATTTCAATAAAACGTACACAATAAATAGAAGTTAAGTTTATCAAATTATATAAATTTTTTTTTAAAATATACGTGTCATAAACTTGTTAGGGTCTACACTTCTCTTCCATAGCTTTGTTCTCCATTGCCGTGCCGTACTCATTAGTTCCACATACATATACCGTATTGTAGCCATGAAGATGACAGTAGCGTGCAAAGACATCAACATTCAACACACCTGGCCAACACAACAAAAAGAATACATTAATTAAAATGATCTAAGAATACATGAATTAATTTCAAGAATATGTTTGGTTCCCAAAAAATTAGAAGGAAAAAAAATAAGGAGTAGATAAATACAGCCGATAATATTGCCGAGGTGAGGGACATTGTTAACGTAAGGGAAGGCGCTGGTAATCAGGATGTTTCACTTGCTAGGAATGGGTAGCTTGGTATCCGTTTCCGTGTCGTACTTATCAATTATACATATGTATGCCATATTGTAGCCTCGAATATAGCATTAGAGTATGCTTGTAGTTCATCATAGGATACCATTTGGTTATGGCATCGAGTCTGCTTGTAGTTCATAATGGGATACCATTTGGTTATGGCATAAACGTCTTGGACATTCATCATATCATTATCTACATAAATGATTTCCATCATGTGTTTTTAATTTTGTTGTTTCTAGTTCATTGTGAGACTTGTGAACTTGCTAAACACCATTGTGTTCATTTTCCAATAAGTCTTCATCAAAGTGTCATTGCTTTTTCTATTATCAATTGTTATGTTTGGTGTCCTTCTCGTGTCACTAATATCTCAAGATCAAAATGGTTTGTTACTTTTATTGATGAATTTCACAAGTCACGTAGGTTTATTTGATGAAAGACAAAAGTGACGTATTTTCTATTTTTAAGTTATTTTATCGCATAACTCGCACCCAATACAACATTCTATCAAAGTCTTCCACTTAGATGATAGTGGAAGCGCATAAATTCTAGTATTCAATCTTATTTTTTAAGCGATGGGATTGTTCCTCAAATATCTTGCAATTATACCTCCCAACAAAATGGAGTAGCCAAGCGTAATCTTGTTGACATTGCATGTTCTTTGCTTATTTCCATCTAGGTTCCCAAAGCCTTTTAGGGAGATGTCATTCTTGTTTCTGCTCACCTCACAAATAGGATGGCTTCCTTTTTTCTGCAATTTAAAACACTTTCCAAGTGTTTCGTCATCTTGCTCCCTACCAACTCTTAATCAACTTCCACCTCAAGTCTTTGTGTTATGTTCATATTCATAAAACTAACAAAGGTAAGCTTGACCTTCAAGCTCTCAAACGTGATTTCTTTGAGGTAATCCCCCACACAAAAAGATTATAAGTGTTTTCATCCTTCACCAAAAAAATATTTTGTTTCTATGGATGTTTCCTTTAATGAAAACCTAGCTGATTTCTCTAATTCTCTTGCCTACACTTCCCTTCAAGAGGAGACCGTGACTAGCCAAGAGAAATCTTGGGATGTTATATTAGATATGGAGAACAAAATACATAACATACATTTAAGTTATATAAATATAGAAAATATCCAAATATCGAAAGTACTTCATTGAATCTCCTCTGATAGGACATTGTATGTCACCATTTCATTCCGCATATCAATGAAAAAAGACACCTATCGAGAAACATGACTAGCCATATGCTCTCGAGACAGGTAATCTTGATGTATAATCTATTTAGTTTATGCTTTCTCATGTTGACCATAATGTTCAAACTTATCCTAATTCATTTGATGATTTAGATTTTCTAATTGTCTTCAGAAGATCCCAACATACTTTTCCATCAACATATAAATATCATATTTTCAGTTTTATGTCTTCTTATCAACTCTCACTATCTTTTAAATGGTTTTCCCATAAGTTGTCCTCTCCAAGAGGGAAGAAAGTTGTTGGTTTCAAGTGTATGTTCACCATAAAACATAAGATTTATGGCTCAATTTACATGTATAAGGTTAGATTGGTAGCAACACGATACACACAGACTTATGACAACACAAAACATTTGCTCAAGTTGCTAAAATGAACATTATTCATGTTCTCTTATCATTAGTAACTAACTTGAAGTGGACCCTTCAACAATTTGATGTCAAGAATGTTTTCCTTCATAGTTATTTATATGAAGAGGTGGCATGGACACTTCTCCAGGTTACGATGAACACATTAGAGGGAAGGTGTGCATATTAAGGAAAGCATTATATGTCTTGAATGTAACACCCCGACCCCAAATTTATTTACCCATTTAAATTATTTAATTGAAATTACGAATTTACCCTTGGGGTAGTGATAATTTGGTCATTTTCTTATCTGGAAGGATTTTGGGACAACAAGTGGTATGGTTACGTAGGTCGTACTGAGATGAGTCCGTAGACACGTAGTGGGCTCAAATCGGAGTTGTAACGAAGAAGTTACGAGCAAAACATCATCAGTGGCACAATCATAATTATCTCGAAATGGAATTTTTATAAAAACAGAATGTTACATCCCGGAATCGGCTCCACCGTAGCACAATATTTTCCACTTTGGGCTCCCATCTCTACCCTCACGGTTTTGTTTTTGGGAACTCACGAGCAACTTCTCAGTGGGTCACCCATCCTAGGATTGCTCTAGCCCCAACTTGCTTAACTTCGGAGTTCCTATGACTCCAAAGCCAGTGAGCTCCCAAAAGGCCTCGTGCTAGATGGAGGCGGGCAAGTATATATAATGCACATCACCCCCTCTCTATTGGTTGATGTGGGATGTTACGCAGAAAGGCCCTCATTTCTCTCTCTCTCTCTCTCTCCCTCTCCTCTGACTGGTTCGCGCGACACCCCCCCTTGGTACTGTTCACCGAAGGCCATTTTTGGCCACTGCGACCACCACGGGGCACCACCGGCCACCAGACCGGTCGGGTTCGAACCGCCGCCACCCCAGCAGCCTTTCCCGACCATCCCCTACTTCGGCCACCGTCGGGATCCGCCTGAAAAGTCATGAAAAGTCGCCGGTTTTTGACAATTTTTCGCCGATATCGTTCTCCGTCATCCGACCACCGTTTTCAACGATTGAGGTATGCTTTCTCACCTATTTTTCACGATCTAGCTAATGGTTAGGTAGGATTGCATCAATTTTGAGCGTAGATAGCTTGATTTTCGAATTGGATTTCAGCCGGTTTTGGGATCGCGATTCTGGCCACTTTAGGTCAGTTTTTGGGGTAGGTCCAAGAACAAAAGTGGTTCCAAATAGGGTGTTTTACCTAGGGTAGGAAGCTGGGTTTCCAATTTTGAAGATTTCCTGCTGTCGGAATTTGATCAAGCCACCCACGCGCTGTCGGCTCGTGGGACACTTTTTGGCCGGTCTTAGAGTCCTATAATAATACGTATGTCGTTCTGAGCGTGACGGTATGTTCAGATATGGTTTTGGGTATCGTTTGATCGTAGATCAAATATCGCATATTAGGCGTTATCCGTGTTCGACATGTTCAGACCGTTGGATTGAGTCCAAATTAGTATATGTTGATCTAGGCATTCCTAGGATCGTGTAGGAATTCACGGATCGTGGATCAGAGCCCCGGATGTTCCGATTTAATAACTTGAAGTTTATGTTTTACAATAACCGTCCGATCGTGCGATCATGATCGATTCGACCGTTTGATGCAGACCAAACTTTCAGGACAAGTGTCCTAAACCTTGTAGAACCCATAGGAACTTTCGGATCAGAATTTGGAGGTTGTGGGCCCCGTGGGCCCGTTTGACCAAGTTTGGGTAGTTTGACCCTTGGTTGACCGAGAGTCTTCCGAGGTAGTTTTACCTTTCTAGGAGGATTATAATGCCCCTAATGACAGGTCTTAAGCGTTGTGGAGTTATGTTGATTATGCAGGATTATGATATTAATTTATTGTTTTAAAGTGAGAGACTATCGGATGCTATATCGTGGTTGAGGTTTATGCAATGGTGGAAATTGTATATATATTTATATGATAAAGATGTTTGATTTTGCTGTGTAAGTACCACCCTGTGATTGTGAGGTCCCACGTGTCATAGGATTTTTCGGTGTGCGGACAAGCCCCATACGTGGTGTTGGTAGTTCCGGCGTATGGGGAGATATTGTGATATGATGATGAGGTCACACGTGTCGTAGGATTATCCGGGGTGATGACAGACCCTATATGTGGCGTTGGTAGTTCCGGCGTATGGGGAGAGATTGTGATATGATTGTGAGGTCCCACGTGTCGTAGGATTTTTCGGCGTGCGGACAGGCCCCATACGTGGCGTTGGTAGTTCCGGCGTATGGGAAGATATTGTGATATGATGATGAGGTCACACGTGTCACAGGATTTTCGAGCATGTTGACAGACCCCATAAGCGGCGTGGGATTTTCCGGCGTATGGGGAGATTTTGGATTATTATACTGAGTTGGGAACAAATGATGTTTGAAAAATATTTTGTTTGGGATTTTGGTAATTGATTGCATGTTGATGGTTTTGAAAATTTTGTATGAAAGAACTACGTGTGGCTTGATCCCTTAGTAATGGTACGTAGGCAGCCTAGGGTAGTGCCTAGGTGCAGTCGCGAGCTAAACTTTGCTCATGTTGTTTTATTGAATTTGGTTCGGACCTTGTCGTTGGTCCTAAAATTTGGGTGAAAATGAGATGCAGTTGTGTTAGGAGGTTAGAGCCTCGTATGTTGGATATCTGGAAAGTTATTCTATGTTTAATGCATAAATTTGATTTAAAGACTTTGCTGGTAGTTTGTTTTGAAGTATTTGAAGGCCGGAGGCCGATTACGTGAATTGCATGAGACTATATTGTGCGTGCTACCAGTTGGGATATTAAATGTGTTTTATGCAGGTTGGAATTTTTGGGGAATGTTCAACTTATAAGGGAGACTTTGCCGAAATTTTGGCAGAAAATCTCGGGCCCTTATTCCTTTTTGGAAATAGGAGGATATAGTTTTAGTGAGTGGGCCCGACATCGGGGTGATGTCGAGATTTCCACAGGATTCATCTTGGGTTTCGAGAAATTCGGGGCGGGTCCTATCATTGAAGTAGTCCCCTAGGTAGAGGTGTCAAACGGGATGGGCCGTGCCGTGTTGGCTCATTTAGTAAAATCATTGATCCCAATCCAGCCTAAAGCCCATGTCCATATTGAAACGGGCGGGGTTAGGCTCGTGCCATGCTCGTGCCCGTGCTCATGCTCGTGTCATGCTTGCTCTCGTGCTCGTGCCCTATTCAGGCCCAAGAACCAACCCGTTTAATTTAAATTTTTTTCACTTTATTTTTTTTTTTCCCACTAGATAATTCAAATTATAAACATTAAAAATATAAGTATAGGCAAGAAATGATGAACTATTTGAAAATAATAATCAACCAAACATCCAAACAATATGAAAGAACGGAGGGCAAAAAGTGTCCAACTCCACAAAGTTCACTTTAACTTTTCATCTTTAAATAACTTATTATTTTATATGTGAAAAAATGTCTTACTTTGATTATAAGATAAGCGTATATGTCCAATGTTGTTTTAATTAATTTGTAGTTAATATGTTTAATTAATTTCATTTTGACTTTTGAGAAAGAAAAAAAAGTTAAGTGGGCTGGGCTTGAAGCGGGCTTGGGCTCGGGCCGTGCTTGAAGCATGCTCAGGCCATGGGCTGGCCTGGTCAAATAGACCTATTTTTTTATTTCGACTATGCCTAAGTTTTCGTGCCATGCCAAGTACGACCCATTAATATTCGTGCTCGTATCGTGCCGTGCCTCATTTAAACAAGATGGGCTCGTGTCATACTGTACTGGCCCGTCCCATTTGACAACTCTACCCCTAGGGCGTCATTTGACGTAATCTCACAAACTATGGGAAAGTCTGGATATCATCCAAGTCAAGCAGATCATACATTATTTTTTCGACATTTTGGAAAGGGTAAAAAATTTATCATCATTGTTTATGTTGATGACATTGAAATGACAGGGAATGACCCCGAAGAAATCAAGAGATTGAAAGTTCATTTGGCTAAAGAATTTGAAATCAAAGACTTTGGTATCCTAAGATATTTTCTTGGGATTGAAGTAGGTTATTCCGAGTAAGGGATCTTCGTTTCAAAAAGAAATATGTGCTTGATCTTTTAACAGAAACATGGATGCTAGCTTGTAAGCCAGTAAACACTCCAATAAAACAAAAACAAAGACTTGGGTATCCTAAGATATTTTCTTGGGATTGAAGTGGCTTATTCAAGGAGGGTATCTTCATTTCATAAAGAAAATATGTGCTTATAACACGTCACAGTGTTAGGGTATGGAGCCTACACCCTTATCTGATTAGTTACTTGAAATAAGAGAGTAGTTATTGGTACTCCAAAAATAATTATCATACTTCTTTTTATTTACAAGAAAGAAGTACATGATCATTATTTTGAAGTGCAAATACAGGTCGTTTTGATATTAAAAAATAAGAAAATTCTAGACTTACTATATTTTTATACTACATTGTGTACCACCTCTCTAAATAGACGTGACCCCTTGTATTGGTGGGCACAATTTTAGGCTAAAATCACAAACTTTTTAAATTTATCTATATATATGAAGCAAAAGATAAAGAATGGTGAAACATTCAAAATACCGAAAAATGACATTGGTTAATTTAAACATTAAAAATTGAAATTATAAATTAAATGAGGATAATATGGTAAATTCACATTTTTTTTACATTAAAAAAATAAAAATAAAAACAAAATCAGATAATAGGTCCTATTTTTATGGAACATAACTACCCATGCTATATTTTCTTAATTCTAAAAATAAAAGAAAAAGAAAAAGGAAAATCAATTAGTACATGCATAAGCATGTGTCAAGGGGCTAGTATATAAATATATAAATAGTGAATTTGATAGAATGTTATATTTTGTTATACCGGAACTTGTACAATTTCACAATCGTCTACAATTCATTCATTTTTAGAAAAACAGAAAATAGTTGTTTTCAAGTAGGAATGTAAAGGAAAAGAAGCTTACACAAATATTGGCCGTAGGATTGAAATTTTTTACTGTTACAATTACGTAGATTAAATCTAGGCTGTCAGATGAGAGGATAGCGCGCAATCAGGTCCACCCTTGGCGGCGGCACTACCTTACCAACCGAGAAGTCCAGTGGTCTGCAAAAACTGGGCTCTACAAATTTCTAGTCCATCTGGTTTGTGGGCTGAAATTTTGACCAAACTTTTGCATTTCTCAAATTTTGGCCCACGCAAGGGCTTTTTTTGTTTTTGGGCTGAAACCCAATTTTTGAGTTTGGCCCCCTGCAGCGTTGGAGATGGCCTAACCGAGCAATCTTCGGTAAAAGAAAAAAAATCAAACATTTCTTCAAACAGAATCAGTCTCAGCAGCTTTTATTGGGGGGTGGTTCCTCAGAGATCCTCTCTCTCTCTCTCTCTCTCTCTCTCCCCCAAACACCACTGTTTCCCAATCTCCTTACTCCAAAACCTATCTCTCTCTCCCTCCCCAATCTCTTCCCCCAAATTCAGACCCACCGAAAACCTAACTTTCCACTGTTGAACTTTTCACCGTCTTCTTTCCTCTCTTTTTTTTCCCATTATTGCGGATCCTATCTGTGCTCTAAAGATGGACATTGAGCAAAAGCAAGAAGAGATCATCGATCACTTCGTTAAGCAAGCCTCGTCCCTCGAAGGCTCTGCCCTCGGCTCCCTCGTCGTCGAAGCCACCTCGCACCCTTCTCTCTTCGCCTTCTCCGAGATTCTCGCCGTTCCTAATGTTCTTCAGGTTTCTTTTCTTTTTCTCTCCTTCTCTGTTTTGTTGTAAATTTTCCTTTGTGCTCTGTGGTGGTGGAAACTAGGAATGAATGGAGAATTTGAATGTTAAGTTAGGAAATAGGAGATGATATCCTCACTGCTACAACTGGTATTTTTTTTTCCCCTATTAATGATGGCCAATGGATGTGGTGGAATATGATGTGGTAAATTTTTAATTTTTAATTATTTGGGATGTTGTTCTTAGCTAAACAGAAATGTAATTCTTGTTTTGGTTGAGAGAAGGGTTCTGTTGTTTTAGGAGTTAGGTCATTGTTTATGAACAAAAAATGTCTAAATCAGAATTTGGTGTAGCCAAAGAGAGAATTAAATTTTTTATTATTGTTATTGGGTTTTCATGCTACGAATGTCAATGTAGGAATAGTTCTTTTGACTCTGTTATATTTGCAGCTTGAAGGAACAGAAACTTCTGTGAACCTGGATGTGCTTCGCTTGTTTTCACAAGGAACATGGAGTGACTACAAAAGTGAGCATGCAAAACTTGCTTCATCTTTTGGTCCATTTTCTCATTAGTGAATCTCTAGCTGTTGGTTTGATAGCTTTGGCCTTCTTGCACCAACTCGATTAATGTTTCTTTTCTGCTTCTATGTCTTATACAATATCAAATGCCCTAAACTCTAAATGTTAAAAACTAACTTACACCCTGAAGTGTTAAACCCTGTTGCAACATGGAAACAAAAATCAGAAAAAGATAACCCAAAAATTGAGCTGCCATTGGAACGGTCTGTTGGCTTGGCGTAGTCTGCACCTGAAGTTCAATATATATGCGTGTAGATGTACATATGTAGCCGAAGAGAAAATTAAATTGTTTATTGTTGTTGGATTTTCCTTTTCCTTCTATTTGTTTTCTTCTTTTTCTTGGTGTGCAGTTGTATTTTTAGCGCAAGTTTTCGGGGTCCATGGTGATATTTCAAGTTGCATTTATTTGAACGTTAAATAGTTTTATTAGTCAAAACATATGCCGCATCTATAACTACAAGTGCAGAAAAAATAAAAACAAAAAAACAGAAGGTTAAAAATAAAAAATAAACAAAAGAACTTTATCTTCATTATCTGCAATTTTTTATATTAAAAAACTACTACTGTTTCTTTTAATGTCCCTGGAGTTTGGCAGAAATGATACCATTCCATAACATTTAATCGTTTTCATTTCCACTACAATAATTTCCAAAATTTCGGAGGATATAATGTCTTAAGAAATCATCTGTTAAATGTTGACCATTTTAAAAGGGAACACAGCTATAATTTTATGCACCATTGCCTCTGTCATCAACTCCGTAACATTATTAAATCCATGGTTCTCTTTTCTTATGTTTTTTTTTCCTTATGGTTAATTTTTTTATTTTAGAGAACTACTTCCCTTAAATTTCTCTGAGTCTTTTGTAAAAAAAAATTATGTAAGCTTCTCTATGGCTTATTGTGATGGAATTTACGAAACTGAAACATAGTTCAATTGTAGGTGATGCCAGTCGTCTTCCCCAATTGGTCCCTGATCAAGTCCTAAAGCTGAAGCAGCTCACTGTTCTTACACTAGCTGAGACAAACAAGGCATGATTCAAATGCGTTATCCTATTATTTTTCAAAAGTTGTTGGTGATTTACATCTCTGAATGTGTATTAATGGTTAAGGCTATATGGTTTCAATGTGATTATGTGGAGTGTGTCACTTCTGGTACTTTGTGTTCTCCATGCTTAACAAATGTCATCCTAAATAAAAAAATGAAAGGATATAGTGAAAAATGCATCACTTTTGGACAAGTCCTTTGGACATAAATTTGTCTTAATTGCACTTGGAGCAATGGACTGCAGTTACCAATACCGCCACTGCTTAAAATTGATTTCTTATTGTAATAGATTATGGTGCCTGCTAAAATACTGGAAACTCAGATTTGAAAAGTTAATTGAAACGGAATGCCAGAAGCTTATTTGGTCTAAATCCGGAAAAATAGCAGTGTTACCTATCTTAGTCATCTGATGCCCAACTCTAGTAATTGATCAGATCATGAGCTAAAGGCCTTAGATGGAGAAATTCTTCTATAACTTTTAGTATGGAAGGTAGCACTACATTAGATAGTGAAATTTATCCCATTCCTGTTATTGATATAAATCAAATGCTGATGCATCAAGCATGTTTTTTTTTCCTCATTCAGCTACGCTCAGGGATTTTCTAGGTCACTATTGTGTATTCAATTTTCTTAAGTATTCTTGAAAGCCTTTGCAGGTACTACCATATGATCAACTAATGCAGGAGTTAGATGTTATAAATGTACGTGAACTCGAGGATTTTCTCATTAACGAGTGCATGTATGCGGTAATTCTTCTTTCATCCTGCTACCTCTTTTTTTTTCCGTACTATATTGAAACATGGACAAAGCGTCTCTAGTGAAGGATGTGGAATGAATAATCATAACTTTTAACGAATTATCATTCAAATACAGTCTAAGTGAAAGAACTGAAATCAAATGTGTTGGAGAAGCACTATTCTCCCTTGTCTTTCTGCCAATCTGTCTCGGTGTGCACATATGGGTGGATGATAATTTGATTATGTCTACAACCATTGAAATAAAATGTGTTCTCGCATGTGTAAGAATATTCTTTTGAAAATTGGACAGCAATATCTGAAAGTTGTTAATGTTAGTTTTGGTCGATGAAGCACGGATATTCCAAATATTGCAGGTGCAGAGTATCCGATATGGATATGGCCCTGATGCCCCCCAATACACCTTGACACTTGTTGGATACAGATTTGGAGTATTCCGTTGACATTTTTGTAAGTTTGACCTTTGGATATAGTGCGACATGCGTTGTCTACGTACGCATCTGGGTGCAAGAGGTGTTCTTTTGTGATTTTTTTTTCCTAAAAAAAGGGGGGTGTCTGAGGTTTTTAAAAAAGTTTTCAAATTATTTAAAAAACTGATGGTCTGAATATTACTTTAAAAGGTTAAGGGTTAAATGTGAAATAAACAGCAGCTTCTTTAATGATTGTGACAAAGTTGATTTGCTAGCTAGTAGCTATTTGTAACAATCTAATGAGTAATCACGCATGAATGATGGAATGGAATCAATGGATATAATCTTTTCCCTTTGTCTATTTTAATATAGTATCTTTTAAATTATGAACTAGGTTCCTACTTTTCTTGGTTGTGTAGATAACCTTTTTAAGACATATATGTAATATTATATATACTATTTTATTATGGAGGAGATGTGTGGTGATTTTTAGGTTTGTTTTCTTTTAGGGCATAGTAAGAGGAAAGCTTGACCAGCTGCGGAAGTGCTTTGAGGTTTGAGCTTTATTGCTGCCGTTGCTTTAAATTATTGGATTTTTTTTCTCCTTGTTTCGCTTTCCTCTTTCTTCTCTTTGGTTTCTGCTCATTCCCTCTAGGTATTCAATCTTGTGAAAAGCAGGTCCAGTTTGCTGCAGGGAGAGACCCCAGACCTGGACAACTTGGGAGTATGATACACACACTGTCAAACTGGTAACATCTCTGATTTTGATGGCACTGGTGTAGTTTCTCTACTTCTCTTGGCATGTACATTATGATCTCAAAACATTAATGTTTTTCCCTGATTGCGCGAAAGTTTCATGACTGTGAGGTGTAAATCTCATGCCATGGAGAATCTTTTACCAATTTGCTAACAATTTTTCCAATGAAGATTCAGAAAAAAACCAAAAAACTGAAAAACATGGTCCCATGTCTAATGAAGTAATGTGTTCTGATTTTTTGCTGCTGAGTTTATGATTTATGAAGTTTCTTCTCTAGATAAAAAACTAATAGAATTGTGTAAATTTTCTGTGAATGAAAACGTAGGTTGGATACCTCAAACAATCTTCTTATCTCGATTCAAGAGAAGATGAAGTGGGCTGATACCATGACTGAATTGGCCAAGGAACACAAAAAAGAAGTCGAAGATAGGGTGGAAGAAGTAAAGAAGTCCTCTTCCCACAAGGTCAGTTTAATCCAGTTTTATTTTTTGTATTGCTTCTCCAAATAATCCTTTCCTAATCAAGTGGACAAGTTGCATTTGATGATTTGGACATGCCATAGTAAAGAATACTTTATGATTTTTATTTTATTGATATGTTTCTCTACACCAAATGTGCACATCAAGGCTTTTGTGATGATCTACTCTGAAGCTAAATAATCACTAGATGAACGAGTACTTTGTTCTCACCCCACACACAGCACCTCCCAATGTGTTTATTAGAGTCTTTTGTTTAGTTATTGGTTATATTGGTCGATGTGTCTTACTTACGTTGTGGCAGAAGTTCCACACTGTAACCAGGCCGACATTGACTTCCGGGGGCACGAGGAGATTTACTCCGAACCTGGTGGAGTGATGGACTATGAGGAAGACCGAAGTAGACCAAAGAGGTAATGCATATACCTCACTTTCTTAATTATGATTCTCTCTCTCTTCCTCACGTCCTTAGGGTAGGTGGTCTAACCATGTTCCACACAATAAATATTTATGAGCCTTTATTGCAAAACCTATTAGGTGCATTATTTGAATATTTGGTTTGGATCGTCAATATGATTTGCCTTTACTCTACTTTTTGACTTGGAAATGCAGGAGACGGCATCCGATATATAGATGAGAGTTAAGAGGTGGAAAGGCTGAGTGTATTTAGGCGAGTTTGAGTAGGCTTGATTTTTGTTCATGGCTTTCCCAGATGTGTTGATTTTTCCTTTTTTGAGACCATAACCTCTCTGATGTTAAACCTTTTTCTTTGTTGTTTTAGGTTCATATTTCATATGTTATTTAGCTTGTCTTCAACCCATTGTTATTCCAATTGAGTTTACAAGAATGAAACCACATTTATTGGTGCGGCTAACATTGTTCATGGATTCAGATACTACAATTGTTCTTGTTTCTCAATGTGTCTTGAGTTCAATGGTTCTTATATTGGTAAAAATTGGGGGTGAATGGTTCAATTTCCCAGTAATGATTTTGAGTGCCTTTTTAAGTGGCTTTGTTTCTGGGTGCTCTTGTTTCTTTGTTGTTAGATTGGATACGGACGGTTGAGATACACAATGGAAATCTGGTTGATTCAATTCTTATTTTATATTTTTTCAATTATTCAATCCCAAGTAAAAATATGCTAGTTATTCTAGGCAAAGTGCAGCACAAGAATGAATGTTTTCTTATATGTACGAGTTAGGACAGTTGCATGCACCCAGTCCAGAGGTAACTTCCTTGTAAAAGCATTCACAAGTGCCTAAAACAAAAAAGGTTTTATTTCACTCAAGTAGACATTTTGAATAGAATATTTCCGTTTCTTTTCTTTGCATAGACACCAACCATTAACATTATATGGTGTAGCAACAAGAGTACCAAGTACTTTGATACAATTTTCCATTACTAGATAGTGAAGAGTACTCCATCTGTTTTGTAGAATCATGTGTACTTATCAAGCCAACAGGATGCGTGCGCCGTGTTGAAGAGGCTCTGAGGAAGCCACCGCCCCCACCTTGGTGTACCACAATTGCCCCCACAAGGTTACATATGTAATGGCACTCATCGGGGAGAGAATTGTTTAGACAAATTTTGGATCGAGATACCATAACCAGGGCCAGCCCAGGGCGGCGCCGAAAATAGATCTTATATATATACCACACAAGAAAAATCTGTGGATGTAGAATATTATAAAATGAGATGTACATAGTATCATTTATTATATATATACATATATATATATATATATCTATATAAGAAAGGAGATGCATCTATGTGGTTTTATATATATATATATATATATATATATATATATATCTCTATATAATATTATAAAATGAGAGATGTATATAAAAGCATTGGAGTACTAAAAAGAACCTGCTTATTTTATACACATCTCTCTATAAGAAACGACGGAAGACCTAAAAAAAAAAAGAGAAGCATTGAACTACTAAAAAGAACTTGCATAATAGAAGACATTAAAATAAAAAAAATAAAAAAAAATAAAAAAAAGAAGCATAAGGCCATCTCCAATTATGGGCCATGAGCCAAATATAGTTCTAAAATAATGCAAAACTCATCTCCAGTCATGGGCTAAAAAAAATATTTTGTCAAATTTGGCCCTTTAACCCACTAACTAGGCAAAATGTAGCCCAACTTTGGTTTAAACCAAATTTTTTTGTGGGCCTAGCACATGTGCTTTCCAGAAAAGAGAGTATCACGTGTAAACAAGAGCACGAAATATCGCATGCAACTGCAGATCCAACATCCAATCTTAAAGGTGCGTTGACGTCAGCTAGCCGTTAGGTTTTTTATTTTATTTTTAATAACCTTTTTAAATGTTTTTAAATTCTTTTTGTTTTTAATATATATATATATATATAATTGGTTTCTAATCGTTGGAGTTCAGAATCATTGATTGAAAAGTTATTTTTATTTATTTATTTAAAACCTTTTTAAATGTTTTAAATTCATTTTGTTTAAAATATATATATTAAAAAATATTGTCTCTAAATCGTTGTTTAAATAAATTAAACAATATATAATTGTACCATAATTTTTCTCAGAATAATAAAATATGAAGGGTCCTCAAATGTAGCCATGTATTACATTTAGCCCTATTATTGGAGATGACCTAAAGAAACACAATGCTTGGATTCAAACTTGGGGAATGACTTGAATTAAAAACCAAGCCTAACCAATACCGCTGGCGTTACTTTATGTCAATATGTCTTTTATTTTATTTATATAACCATTGAATATGACCTAACAATGATAGAAAATAAAAATAAAATAAAAAAATTGGGACCTTCCCTTGAGCTAGGGCCCAGAGCAGTCACACTTCCTGCCCTAGCTCAAGGCTGGGCATGACTATAATAACGTTTCATACTAGAAAGGTTTATATGAGGACAGGTAAGAAGAAGATTCTCTAGAGTTTTACCAAATGTCAAACTGTTTTTCTTCACAGCTAATTTCTCGTGCAACAAATCTAAAAGAGATTATTTTCACAGCACAACAATATCAATTTAGCGCTAAATTAAGTACCTCTGTAAATTAATTTGTCGTTTATTGGCCAACATAATCTAACACCTAGATAGTTGGAAATATAGAATTGAGTAAAATTTTAAGAAGGGAATACACCATCACCATGTGTACACGGTACACCATATATTTTAAATATTAAAAGACAGATAATAGCAGTTGGTCATTGTACGTATATGTATTATTAACATACTATCATAAGTTGACCCCAAAAAAAATATGTACTATCGTACGTACAAGAAGGAAAAAAAAACTTCGTTTGTTTAAACATTGCACATGCATTTTATAATATAATAACAATTATGAAATAAAAATGAATAAACAAAAGTGAAAATGCCCAGTTCTGGACTTCGAAAACGGAAAGTTGAAACAAGGTGGCATCTGGCTCAGTGTACATTTGAAATGGCTTTGACCAGAGGCCCCGTGAGCAAAACCTTATTTAATTTAGAAATAGTAATATTTATGGAAAGTAAAAATCTACTGCGAGCTACTTAATCGAATCCCTCTTTCTACTTAAAGCAAAATTCTAAGATAACTATAAATGGCAACAACAACAAAAGTAATATTCCTTAGAGAAAATCTGAGAAAAATTAAGTTTGGTACATTCTTATTGGCATTCTTTGACTTCTAATCTAATCCTTAGTGTAATAAATTTACAAATTTATAAATAAACCCAATCCTAGACATGTATTTATAAAAAAACTCAAGCACTATTTAAACATAGAAACACACCCAAAATCAACCCCAAAGTCAACTTTTTGGGTGTGTTTATAAATGGGTTTTGAGTGTGTGTAATGATGGGTTTTGGGTGTGTTTATAAAGTGTTTTGGGTGTTGGGTTTTTTTATAATTTCAACTTCCATTTTGGGTGTTTTAGTGAAACTCCCATATAAGATAGTTTTTGGATCAGTAAAATTGCAAATCATGTTTTTAATTTCATTGACAAGCAAATGAGTCAACTTTTTATAAATCCAGGTGACACGTAGTGTATGTATTGTTATTGGGTTTCACGCATAGATAAATTAATTGATAATTGGAGGGGAGATCTAACTCTTTATGAGCTCTTAATACAACCATTGGGTTTAAACTTTCCAACATGGATTCACATCCTCACAATCGTAACCCTACAATATTTTTTTTGCTTTGAAGTATGCAATAACAAAGAAAAAGACAAAGAACAAAGAATCTAGATCCACGATATAAGCCAAAAAGAGAAATAAGAAAATCGATCACCCATCTCAAGTACAACAAGATTCTAGGGTTTAGAATTAAATACATGATAATAATTCATGCCCATGTGTGTAACGTACCTGGAATCCAACATACCATGCTCTCAAAATCTACCTAAACTGCATAGATGCATTTTAAACTAATATAGTGCTAATTAAGTATCAGATAATTTCTGCACGTGACTAAAAAGACACATGGATTCCATTAATTATTTCACGCACTGCCATGAAACTTGAAGCTTCATTGAAGCTGCCTCCGATACCATATGAGCTCATATAAAGCTAGCTTTTGTGTGTGACGAACATGTGCCAACGTTCGATCGATCATAAGAAACTCAGAGCTTCGACCCACTCAATCGATCATAAGTACGTGTATAGTTCAGGAACATGTACGGAGAGACAACCTTAGAACTAGAATCTAACTTGGCTCTTCTTGAGTCCATTCGCCACCATCTTCTTGATGATTTGGAGCCTCAGGCAACGAGTTTTAGGGGCAATAATGTCTCGACTTTCCCATTTTTCGTGACAGAGAATTGGTGGGAATCATCTCTTGAAGCCGAACATGTGGACAACACCATGCCGGACATGCTTGAAGCTTTGCATGACGTAAATTACGTTGGATGTGTTGTGTCCAACGACGAGGTTCAATTGAAGGAACAAGTGGCGGAGGGTGCTGTTCACGCGCCAAGGGAGGAGAGGCATTATAGAGGTGTGAGGAGGAGGCCGTGGGGGAAGTTCGCAGCGGAGATAAGGGATCCGGCAAAGAACGGTGCGAGAGTGTGGCTTGGAACTTATGAGACCCCGGAGGACGCGGGGCTGGCTTATGATCGAGCTGCATTTAAGATTCGCAGTTGTAAAGCCAAGCTGAATTTTCCTCACTTGATTGGCTCGAGTAACGTGGAGCCCGTTCGGGTGACCCCTAAGCGGCGCCGCTCACCTGACCAATGCTCTTCGTCGTCCTAAGCCAAAGCGAAGAGAGGCCGGGGTTGATAATCACTTGGCAGCTTGAGATATAAAAATTAATATGAGTTATGAAAATGCATGTATAATTAAGGAGCTGAGAAATGGTTCCTACTGCTAGAGTTGCATTTCTATTTTCCTTATTTTTAAAAGGAATAAATGGTTCCATTTCCCATATTATTTTCCAAAGAATGGAAAATGGAAGATTTCCCATCCCCAAGTCATGTTTTCCATGAACGTAACGCACCCTAAGATCAATGTGTTTACATATACAATCCAGTAAATCACTAAGCATCATATATGTTTTCCAATTTCTTCACTCGCTTATTAATTTGGTTAAATACGTATTTATCAAATATAAACTAGTCTTGTTTTTTTTTCCTAGTGTGAATGTCTTTTAGAACTTTTCCATG